AACCGACCTAGAGTGTGACGCAGAAAATAGGGACTTATCTTGCGTAGTTAACTGATACTTATTTGTTTATGTCACGGACACCTCAAGTTCTTCTGTAAGCGGTTGAACAACTTCATAGGCCAACACAGTATTCTTCTTAAAAAATCCATGCTTTAAATTCTGTAAGCTTTTAAATCTTCTTAAAGGTGATTTCGGGCTTTCTGAACATGAAACAATAGTAAAAAATATCAGTAAAAAAATAAATTTTAATTTAAGTCAATAAATAATAACAAGGAACAAAGATAGATTCTCACTAACACTACAAAAAAATAAGAATTTAATCATGTAAATTGAGACATCTACATATGATCTCAAAGTAGAAAAATACATATGGAAGATGGTCTTTTATGCGTCGTTTCATTGTAAAAAATAACCAATAATAAACTTTTCACAGTTACGACAAATAAACATGACTTAAGTTCAAAATAACAATAACATATTATAATAAATAATAAGTACCTGAATGAGTGTCACGGTTGTTATCAATAAATTCTAATTTTGCCCAAATTTACTAATAATTTCTTCTTTCTTTCAGTGTCTACTGTGATGTACTTAAATTGTTAACTATTATGATAACTCTTACACACAAACCTTAACACGTAACAAGCCAAAACAAACAAATATTGTACGAGCACTGGGTAAAAACGGACAGCGGTAGTTAAACGCATCTACGTCTGGGCAGTTGTCTTCTTTTACTTGACAAAAAATGTAACGATATTTGTATTTTTTATTTTACCATTTTGTAGAATATGATATTTTTAGTAAGTTACTGTAAAAAAAAAAAACTGCAGTTAACTTTTTTTACTTTGCACCCGTCGATATGTATGTTATAATTTATATGTCTACAAGTAGTAATATATAGTACCTATAGTAATAATATATACAATTATACGTCATAAGCATATACTTTTGATTAGAACCGCGCGATCGAAACCGCGGACGAAATCTAATCGTTATTCGCAACATCATATAAGATTACCCGACACAATAAATGCTACGCAGTACGTACAAGCTGAACTTGCCTCGTGGCCTTGTTCCGCAAAGGTCGCCTATCCAAGGCCCTTCTCTGGGGGATTATCCGGACATGTTATACTCTGCCATCGATCTAAATTGCAAACTGTTGGCGATTAATGGATCAGGTAGGCGAAGCATTGTTCTATATAGATAGAAAAAAAAAAATATGAAAAAGCTTCAAATATTTTTCTAAATTTAGTTTCATGTTTTTAGTACACTCCCAGAGTAATTTTAGTACCTACCTAATATTAAGTTTGTACTCGGCGGTATAGGTTTTTGATAGATTAAGACAGGTCGTAGGTAATGTTGGACTTATATATTAAATACGACCTAACTTTCAAGAAAACATGCCGCCAATGTCTTGTGATTTCTGAGTTGCGTTCATCGGCGGCGTAGTCATTTTCCTTCAGTTGACCCGTGCTTCCTCGTTTCCCTCTATATCACATAACAAAAGGTTTTTGATTGATTTTGTTATAATATTTTTTGGTTTTGTATGGGTTTGCGTATCACTGAACTAAAACTCCTAAACCATTAGATCAATTTTGATGGAATTTTGTGTATATTTAAGTGAATCTCTCGATGGTTAATATTCATGATTGAAAATGGTAGGATGTGCTGCATTATCCCTGTTTTTAAGGTTTTAACTTAAATACTTTAGTGACGAAATCAGTGATGACATTAGAAATAAAATTCTATGTCAGGATAGGATAATGTTTATTAGGTTCACAGTTTATATTTTTTCAAATCGCTACCGCTACTATTTGGACCGTAAGCGGGGTTGATAATCCGACGCCCTTTGGAACTATGTTTCAGTGTCACGATCGATCTTGTTGCGAGTCGCTTATGTACATCTTGTGATGTTCTATACGTTATCTAGCTATTTCTAGTTTTTAAAGTAGCCGCTACATGTTTGGATCTTTTTTTTTTTAAAAGACAACTCCCGCTCTAGAAATATATCCTGTGTCGCGGAGGACTTTAGAAAACATAATGTAACGGACACAAAGAACACTCAGACTCAGAACAACAATTTGTGGATCACACAAAGTGTCGTACAATGTGAGGATCGAACCCACAACACTCATTGTAATAGTAAGCGGCGTAGCGACCGCTTAAACCACAACGCCATCCGTGCAGAGGATAAAGATGAATGGAGAACTGGCATATCAAATTGCTAGTTCAAGTTTAACTGTTTGTCAAGCACATCTGAATTTATTTAATTTAGGTGGTGGATGAAGACTAATAAAATTCATTCAATCATTAAAAAGATTAAGTGTGCGTCAATCACACTTAATCTTTTGATTACGTAAACTAACTTAATCCATTCAATTATATAAACGAGGTACTTTACATACTTAAATGGATTAGGTAAGTTTAACATATAACTAAATATTCAGAAAGTGATATTTACCTTATCAAAACATATTAAAATAATAATAGTTAGACACATCTCCTACAACATAAATAGAAATCATAATTTAGATGCATTAAAACAATCGTTTTGTGTATTGTGCATTTAATGGCTAAATACTAAAATATTAAGGGAGGGTAGAATCATAAGTAAATCATAAAATTGTTGTATCTAAATATAGATATAAAGACTATATAGCCCATTTCTAGGTAAGTATGCGTGGTACTCTTGTAACCCTAAGGGCCCTCCTTTGCTGCGGGTATCACAGTGTGCCCTGAGTCATGACCACAGGTTCCCCAAACAATATTCACAATTTTGTAATACATTTATGGTTTTCGAAATCAGTTATTTTTCAAAACAATTATAGAATAGTGTTGCGGTCGACTAAATAAAACTCGAACATATCTCGGTCACAGCAATTACATATGTGACAGATAAAAATAAATGTAAAATTTTGTGGTTGAAAAGATTCAACTTTGATATCAGGAGTGACGAAGCGGCAATCAGCTCACAGGTAGATCTGGATTTGAACAAGCACAAGACACTGAGTCTTGTGCTTAATTTCTGCTTTGCATTACTTTATGTGGATGAATTTCATACCTAGATGTGTGAGTAATATTCAGCTTTGCAAATATTGTAAGGTATAAGGAGTAACATGACAGGATATTATAAAAATAAGATCCTAAGTCCTGAGTACATATAAACCCATTTACATTACTCTCGCACTTTAATATTGTCAATGACCTTAGTCTTTCATAGATTTTTGTTATTTATAAACACAGAGCTAGCGCATGCCATAAATATTTGTGAATATTACTAGCATCAGCTTTGCCTTTGCAAATATTTTCTAAACATTGATAATGACACATTTATCATAACCTCGATGCAATCTGACTATTGAAATATACTGTATACTTTTGGTTTGTTTCTGAAGCTTGACAAAAAGGGAATAATGGTAAAATATTGTTTGTAATTTAAAGACATACGTCACAAGGCTTTGGAGTGGGGGACGTTCTTTTCTTGAAGGTTTGAAAGTCGTGCACGTTCGAAAATACCGCAGGATTTTCTTGAAAATGTTAAATATTGTAGTATGTTAGTTGCGACAACATGACATTTTGCTTTCAGAGAATGCCATTAGGATAATAGGATATCATTTTATCCAGAGAAATGTACCGTTCCAAAGATATTGAATATATTAAAGATAATACCGTAAATATACATTTCTAATATATTAATATATTTACCTACCTAGTTTAGTTATAATAATTTCTGTTACATAAGCCAAGCCGCGTACAAAAATAGGTATGCTTCTAAAATTCAAGGCGCTCTGGCGAATCATTTCAGTGTGACGAGAGATTCTTTGTTTCGTTTTAACTAACATAATTTTGTAATAACACAGCGTATTACACATAATATTTATTTGAGATTCGTTTTAAATGAAAGGAAATAAAAATAAACCCACAGCAGAAATGGACACGTGATAGTCTGAAATTTGTGTTTCTATATAAAGTTAAGCGTAGAGGCTGTATGTCTTCAGTGTGGCTGTGCGCGCAGCGTTGAAGGTCACCCACGTGACTGTGGGGAAAGAAAACTCACCCCAACCATTTCAGTCTGCTTCGCGAAGCACAACACTCGTTCATATTGAACTTGAATTATTACACATATATAGTGATTCTTGTTATAAATAATTCAACGGAATATTTTTTTGGCGTTACACTTGAGAGGTAAGTGAAAAGAAAATCGATTTTCATCTCAAGGTCATCTTCGGCTTACGTCGTCATTATTTGTTATGGGTCGTGACTTCAATTGACTTGCTGTTTTAAAGGTTAAAGTTCTGTATGTATTTGTTAAATGATTTCAATGAACACCTATAAAAACTAACTTAACCATATTAAATGTATTGTTTTTTTAAATAACAAGAAAAATAGAACAATAAAATGTGTTTTTAATGACAGTCTTAAATACAAAGTTACGAACTAAAGAAAATGGATACCTTAATAATTGTTTTTTCATCGGTAATATTTAGGTAAGTTTGGTATAAAGTAATAGTTCAATACGTTTTTAACAGATTTTCACGTTTTATACGATTTACACTTTAAAATCGACAAAATGACCAGTAATTTTTAAAAAAAGTAGAGTTAGTTTGTTTAAGAGCAACTAAAATTATGTGACTTTTATTTGTATAAATACAATATAAGTTTGTATTCTTAATTTGAACTAGCTGCCATAGACAACCATAATATATTTTAAAAAGTCTTTAAAAGTGGCTTTTTTTTAACTCTTGGTAAGTACTTTTTTCTATATGAAAGATAATCAATCTCTCTTTTTGTACCCTTGCCAAGACGCGTTAAAATTTTTATGATGATCACATGAACGGTATGGCAGCCCATTAAATATAAACGAAGAAAAATTGTTTTTTATTCATTAGAAAATCAGATGAGAAAAATTGCACAATCACAGAGTTTCATCAAACATTTTGCAATGAGATTCTAAATTTGTTTATAACGCGGGTATTTGATGATAGTGTATAGTTCTAGCCATGGCGCGAGTAGAAGAGAAGTTATATCCGAATTGTGACTCGTCGGTTTGGCTGCGTTCCTGCGAAGAGGAGGTTTCCGAGCCTCTAGAAGGGGAACTGACAGGTATGCTTTTTAACTGTACCTCTAGTTTATAGGTGTTGGAATTGGACAGTAAGAAAAAAAGATCATATTGTGCACTTTATACTTTAAAAGCTTTTTCAGATCATTTAGTACAATTTAAAAATAATAATCCACAGGCTTTTGAGAGTCTTGTCCATCTACACTTTACAATAATATTAATTATAATATACAGTTTCATCTTTAATACGAAAAAGCTATTTGATAGTAACTTATATCACTTTTGAATTTGACTTACTTCGAGATCTATCGACTATCATGTTATTGTATGTATTATTTTAAATTCCATTCTGAAATCGTCTTCATGTGAGCAGAGTGATATAGCTAATTAAAGGTTAACTTGGTAATGCATTAAAGCAGTTGTATGTTTAGCTACAGCTCAGGCAAACTTAAATTCATACTGAATATAAATACTTACAATTCGATCCCCAATAGTTTAAAACAAATGCATACTGCCAGAGACTTAGATACGTGATCGAAATATTGTTCGACCAACGCCCCATTAGTTTTTAAGGCTATTTAATAAAAATAAAAAAAACTATTCGGCATTTAAATCTTTGACAATTATATATTTGCCTTTTGAATACATGAGTTGATGGAGATGCTTTGATTTGATCATCGTATTGATCTAGTTTTATGTCAAATGTAATTTTAAGTTTGCGAAGCACTGGTTAAATCTTGATCATTGATTTAACTAAGGTTAAAAACGTTTTATAGCGGACTTCAAACCGAATTTCATATGCACACTATAAGGCTCGCATTATAACTTACGCCATAAATACCGATGTTGCATATGATGATGATGATAAAATGTTTTATAAAAAGCAGTGATAATGGTACATATATGGGCCAAATAATAATAATATAATAATAATATTCTACCACATTCACCCATCACCATCTAGTCCCAAACTAAGCAGAGCTTGTACTATGGCTACTAGACAGCTGATATAAATACATATATACTTTTTTTTGTAAATACATACTTATTATACATACATAGAAACACCCAGACCAAATCAAACATTAAATGTTCATGCACACAAATGTTTGACTTGAGCGGGAATCGAACCCGCAACCTTTGGAATAGCAGACCGTTCACAAACCACTACGCCATCCGGTCGTCTAAATTTTCAGCGAACACATTATCCATAGAAATTAATTAATCATTGACCAAAAGCATTATTCTATACATGATCGATTTTATGATACACTAGCTGTACTCGGCCATGCTTCGCTGTGGTACATTGTGGTTGCATTGATGAGAAGTGATGAACAAAAGTAATGCCAAAAAATTGATAAAAGCTACCTTTGAAGCGTGTTGTATATCGTGTCGATCGATCCGAGAAATTTATAATTTAGGCAATCGTTGTTCATTGAGACAGAAATTTAAAGAAACAAACCCAATGACAGTGGCAAGTTAGTTGTGTTATAAATAATTAGTGTTATAAAATAATATATAAATATTATATGAAAATTTTGCGCTAAGAGTGCCAGACAAAATCTCGTCAGAGTATGAGTAGTTTCTAGAATGATTAAAGTGTACATGAATTACGCGACTACGTGGAATCGAATATGTCTATAGGCTTCAGAAACCACTTGCCATTACACGGGCCTCGGGCCGTACAATTATATGTGTACACTTGTTAGCCACCATCGGATCGTGGGATATTTTCTTTTAAAATTAACTAACAATTAAATAACATAGTTTTTGTTATATTATTACATAGTATTTATATGAAAATGTAATTTATATTCATAATAACAAAGATAACTTTTTGAAAAGAAGTGGTGTACATTTTATCAATACCGGAAATAGAAATAAACTTGTAATACCCAAAGGCTCCAAAAGATAAACGAGTCTTTTCGATGTAAATGTGTCCAATTTTACAATAAAATCCCAAATAACATTCAAGACTTAAGTATTAATAAACTTAAATCTGCAATTAAACGTAGATTATATCAGAAGGTCTCATTTGTGGATTACATAGAAGACAAAAATGCTTAGGATTAATTTAGCGCAGGCTATTTCTTAAATAAAAATGTGGTGTGGGCTAGTGTAATTTTTATTATTATTTTTTCTATTTCACTTCATTTTCTCTTTAATTCATTTTTTTTTCTTAATCTTGTTTTCTCTACATTGTCTTTTTACCTTTTAGTCATTAATAACGGACATACTGGCACACATCAAAACAATTTTGTAATACATATATTTAATGATGCCATGGCATCTAACTGTAAATTGCAAAAGAGTGGCCATGAGTTTGTTTGCCCTTTCTTCACATAAGGCTCAACCCTTGCAAAACGTTCGGTTGTAGATCAGCAGGCATATCATAGATTTGGTATAAGTTTATTATTTATTAAATTTATTTTGTTTACTATTTGACAAAACAGAGATTGTTGCTGTTGCTGTATGTGTTGATCTATATATATATAAAGATAATTGAGTTTGAGTTTGTGTCAAAATTTGAACTCAATCGGAGCATAACTTTTAAGTTTTTGAAGCGTACTCAAACCAACTTAACATTTTTTATATATTAAACAGACAAGTTAAAATGTTTACGTAGCTAAAAGTCCTAACATTGATTAGAAAATGTAAGCACAACAAAGCAGATATAATAGCTGTTCATCACAATACTTCCTCTATTATTCAAGTCATGTTACTGTTTTAAAAATGAATAAATAGGACAGTAATATTGACTTTCATCATCATCATCATCACCAGCCTATCACAGTCCGCTGCTGTACATAGGCCTCTTCAACTGCACGCTACTTGGTTCGATCCTTGAATTCTCAAATCCAGCTCCTGTCAGCCATCTTGAGTAAATCATCACTCTACCCAATAAGTCATTTACCCGAACGACGGTTGTCGGTTGTTAACAATGACTTCAAAGTTAAAAGTCAACTTTCTATCGGTATTAAATGTATTATAATATTTATAATACTATCTATTTATTTTTCAGGTGAGGTTCCCTCGTGGCTTCGAGGTACATTACTCCGTAATGGTCCAGGTTCGCTCAACGTCGGCTCAATGAGGTTTGAGCATTTATTCGACAGCTCAGCTTTATTGCACAGGTAAGATTATAGAACCTTGTCAATGTGATGTTGCGTTAAATCAAGCATTCCAGGCCACTCGTCATACGTTTGAAACTAACAAATATATTTGTCACTTATGTGTTTTTAAACGATGAACTCAGTTCGATGGTTTGTTTCTCACTTCCGATTTTTGTTATTTAATTGGAGTGATTTGGAAATTTATCTATTTCACATGAACTTTTATTTTATATGAAATATTTTAAGCGGTTTTTTTTAAACTTGTAAAATGTACATTTCTATAACTGTAAAATCTATCCATAAAAATGTCAACAGTCTTTCGTTTAACAAACGTAGCACCGGGTAAAAGTGTTTATAGTGAATTTTATGTTATATATATAGAATTTATAAATAAGGTTACTCTTCGACCAGGTTCGCGATCGATGATGGCACCGTGACATACCAGTGTCGGTTTCTTTGCACCAATACGTTGAAGAAAAACCGCGCCGCCAACCGCATCGTGGTCACGGAGTTTGGCACCAAGGCTGTCCCGGATCCGTGTCATACAATTTTTGACAGGTTATTATCAATGTAATGTATTTTTTTCTTTTTTAAAAAAATACCCGCACTAGGAAAACATCCTGTGTCGCGGGAGACTTCAAAAACATACATGAAATGGACCCAAAGAACATGCCGATTCAGAACAACAATTTGTGAATCCCACAAAGTGTTGTCCCGTGTGGGGATCAAACCCTCAACACTCAGCGCAGTAGCAAGCGGCGAGGTGACCGCTTCAACCACTGTGCCACTAATCAATGTGTCTGAGTCCGCATTGATATAATAATAGACCTTAAATTTTTCATGAATCAAAGCTATTGTAAACAAAATAAAAAATTTCTTTTTTCACAAGTATACTGTCGCCCTGTGAGTCCCCCTCCATGAAAAGGTGGGGGAGGGGTTACCACACTCACTTGGTGAAAAGCAATGCAACTTGCTAAAACCCTGTGCGGCATTTATGCCGAAGTATGGCTCTGCCACGGCAATTATTTAATGACTTCGAGGATAAAGGTTTCCCGTTATTATTTTTAGAATGGCAGCGGTCTTCAATCCAGGGGAAATGGTCTCCGATAACGCAATGATCTCATTGTATCCTTTTGGCGATGAAATATACGCCTTTACAGAAGGGCCTATCATACACAGGTAATAAACAGTCTCTAACGATGAAAAGTATTTCAGGTGCCGTATTAATCTAACTGCTAATATAAACTTATAACCACAGGTTACATGAAAAATAATAATAAGAAAATAAACGTTTAGTGGTTTATGAATAGGTATTCAATACATTAAAGAACTTACGAGAACATACTGAAAATAATCCCTCTATAACCTGCTTAAAGACCTTGGATTGCCAAGAGCTTCAGTAAGCTTTTTTCTTGAACGAATATCCAAAGCGGCACTGCGGGTAGAGAGGGTAACACAGCGGACAGTGGACGTGAGCGCTGACGCGTCACAAGGAGTACTCCCTAAACCTATACCTGGGTCGCAATTCCCAGGCGCTGTCGAAATCGAATCGCAATCTATCACGCGATGGACCCGAAATCCGGTGAATCCATGGAACGCTAAAAAATAGGTCAATATACAATGCAAAAAAACAATGTAATTTTGTTATATAGATATAACAAAAATTCTTAATATCGTAATAATGATAGGTTAGAGTAAAAAAACTTTTCTGCATTTAACAATTCAGCACTAGATGGTAAGAGAGATGATTAAAATCTACTAATGGAAAGTAGTGTAGGTATATTAGAACAAGGTGTGCTCAATTAAACTTAGCCTTACAATTGGATTATATCTATATTTCTATAACATTAATAGGTACGTAAGATAAGAACATAATATAAGAACATAAGGTTATTATTACGATATTCCGGATACTTATATCATCCGTGGTAATAGGTAATAGTTTTTTCTAAAGCAATTCAATGTGATATATAATACACATACATGTGACGTAAAATTTTTCCACCTGAGTTGTGTTTTTTAACCATTTAAATTAGTAATTTTAGTACATAGTTTAAATAATGAAGAACTGATTTTTACTCTTTCTTTCCTATCAGAGTGGATCCAGTAACATTGGACACATTGGAGCAGAGGAGTATGACAGACTGCATTGCGCTTGTAAACCATACCTCACATCCTCATGTCATGCCTAATGGTGAGATATAAGAAAAAAAGCTTGTGTATTTAAAGCATTCATTCCGACATTCTTGATTAGATTTTAAGCTCGGAAGTTTATTTAGCGGCTCTCTCTGCCACTGATAGTGTATACTGATCTGATGAAACTACCGATCCGTGTATCAGGTACTTTTATTAAATACAACAAGATTCAATAAATACAACAAATTTTAAGCATCCTTATTTGGGATTATTTTTAATTGATTTGCGATCGGCTCGATTCGTTGGCGTTCCGTAGAGATGTAGCTTCACTTTGTATTCTCTATCGCATATATCATGGAGAGTGCTCCGAGGAATTGTTCGGACTAATACCAGCTGCAAATTGCCGCCATCGTTCCACACGTCAAAATTTTCATCCTTATTACCTGGATAGTTAGCGCTCCACTATTGTGCGCTTTTCGAGACACTTTTTGCCCCGCACAACCAATCTGTCGAACGGGTTATCGTCTGCGGTATTGCCGGACCTCACGGACGGATTCAAGAAAAGAGCGTACTCCTTCCTAAAAGGCCGGCAACGCGTTTGTGACTCCTGAGTTGCAGACGTTCATCGGCGGCGATGGTCACTTTCCATCAGGTGACCCGGTGAAAATAAATTAGTTTAACAATATTTTGCGGCTAATACAACTCAGCCCTTTTTCTCTGGAAAACTAAGTAAAATTGAGTGCTTTCTGACCCGTTTGGACTACAGTTTGTTTCTTTGGATGAGAGATATGAGATCTTTAAAGAACTTCATTTGTCTATACCATACCATGCTTATTCTTTCAGGTGATGTATATAACGTTGGGATGTCAGTGGTCAGAGGCAGAATAAAGCACGTGGTCGCCAAATTTCCGTACACTGAAAAAGGTACGCGATTTTGATCTATGTACAGTTATGTAAATATTCAATTTATTATATCTCGTTTTATGATATTATTATTATTATATTATCTCGTTTACTTATATTTAAATTATAAGTAAATAAAAGAGAGTTTGACGATATTAAAATGTTGTTGTTTTATTTCAGGAGACATGTTTAAAAGTGCTCGAATTGTTGCCACGTTGAAGCCACGCTGGCAAATGCATCCCTCATACATGCACACCTTTGGTACTTATTTCTCAATTACAAAAGTGTTCCTAATTACAATAAAAATCAACAGTGTTGTCAACTTTGGAGTCTTGCATATTTAAAGGATCAAACATCATTCAATTTTAAAAGTGATGATCAAATTTTTTTTCAATGTTTTAAAAAGATGTACCTAAGAATTTTAGGAAACCTATATGCAATAACGAGTTAAGAGCTCAACAAATCCTATTTCTGATTTTATGCATAAATATATTGCAAAATGTAATCTTGAAAGACTGATTGAATGTTGTTTCAATTTACTAGCGTCATCTGCAGTAATTGTAAAATCTTCATTTCCACTTAAGTTAAGTTTCCAAGAGATTGTAGCGGTTATTTACTAGTTACAATAAGATTTGGTAGATGGCGTTGACAAATACAAAAACTGAAGCACTGATGCCCAGTTCCTATATTCATACAATCCAAAGGAATATTTGACCTTTTAAGTTAGATAAACGATCTTTTTGGCTGCCTGTTTTTAATTAAATTAACTTCCGTTTTCCTTCTTATTTCTAAATCTCATATGATTTATCTAACCGATAGCTGCCCAACCATTAGTTACATACCAAATTGACTCTACCTGGCGATTCAATGAATTGGATAATTGTATTGGTCTAAAAAAATGTGGAAAATCGTAATAAAAATGCCAATAATTTCATAAACGGCAAAAGATCTCTGTGAAATGAAAAAATAAGACATGCTAAGTTTTAATATGTTTTGGGAAGCACTTATTTAGTTGAATACCAATGTATATATTCGTACCGAGATAAAAAGATGAATATGAACCTGTAATATTGTCTTTAAATAATTATTTTGAACTGTATTTTATTTTAAAGGTATTACAGAAAACTACTTCGTAATAGTGGAGCAGCCTCTATCGGTCTCACTCTACGGGCTGGTGCGGGGAGTCCTTGCCAAAGAACCACTCGCCAAAAGTCTGCAATGGTTTCCCAATTACGAGGTATTTATAACTGCAATAAACTGATTATAATAAATGACATTATTGGGTTCTGGACAGTAAGTTGTGCAGGTTAGGAACTTTGTTAGAACGAAAACAAAAATAACAATACCAGTTTGAAATATAGATTTTCTGAAGGAAGCGTGGGTACGCTCATGATTAAGAATAAATCTTGAAATATGTAACATCAAGGCTTTTCCGAGAAAAGACAGGTTCAGATTCGGGAAGTACCTGAATGATGATGTTGTGTCTGTGACCTGTACCTTTAACCCTGAAGCCATATCCTAAATACTATAGTACAGTACAGTATTTAAAAACGGACAGGGGCCAGCTGTTGTTTTAATTTTATCTAGTCTAATTAATCACAATAATTTGAACCTGATATTAGACACATGAATATAAACCAACTCATTTTCAGAAAACTCACTAGCGGCTCATGCCAATAATGTCTGGACTATATAATTCTAACAGTGACTAAACGTAATTTCGCTTAATACAGACACACGTAGTACTTCTAAGCCGTGAAACCGGCAAAGAAGTTAAGCGCTTCCGTACAGAAGCCCTCTTCTATCTGCACATCATCAACTGTTATGAACATAACGGGAAGCTGGTGGTAGACTTATGTGCTTACAAGGATGCCAAGGTCATTGACGGCATGTACGTACATGCTATTGAGGTGAGTTATACTTTTAGATCTTTTAAATGAAATTGAGGTGTCCTTGACTGTTGCTCATTCTAAAAATTATTTATGGGCGAATTAGGATTTTAATTTTTAAAACATAAAAAGAGAAAATCCTGTCTTTAGATTGTGATCTTTCTCGCAAATAATCTTTTTACTCTTTTTGTCGGTCAAGTGGTTAGTGAACCAAGTCAAATATTTGTGGAATGAGCACGAGCATTTGTTCTGTGTCTGAGTGTATTTTATGTAATATAAATTTATGTTATGTATTAGGAAATTTTATGTATGTTTATCATTAACATTATATATAAGTATTTAGTAATATTAAGGTATGTTTATCAGGAATCTGGTTACCATAGTACAGGCTCTGCCTAGTTTGGGATCAGAGAGACGTGTGTGAGATGTGTAGGGTTAGACGTGTGTGAGATTGGTCATTAAATTGACTTCTTTTTACTTTGTGATTATTGCTTTCTGTCATAATGATGCTCTATATTTTGTCTTCAAATATTTCGCAATTTTATACTATATTTTTATCGACATTGAAAACAAAACAATTGATGCTGCCAACAAGATAAATGTTGAAGAATGTAAAGACGGCTTTTGTGTAAATACAATAGATTATTTGATTACATATGGCCGAATATTGGTATAATGTACCTATATATTTAAATATAAGCTGTGTTGAGTATTATTAATGTTTATTAAGTATTGTGTTCACGTGTGCACTAGGTACAGACCTGACAGGGATCTTTATCATGCGGTGAAACGATATTCTGCATAACGACGAAAACGTTCTTTTAACCCTCAATAGTTATTCTTTTGATTGTTTAATCTTTAATAAATATTATACCCACGCGGTTTGGTACTACAAATATTTGGATATTTTGTGTATATTTCGCTCGTAGCTTAGTCACTCATAAAATGTTTGACTTCTAGACGATGCAAAGCAATGCCGATTACGCGAACTGGTTCCGCGGCAGACCAAAACGACTAGAGGTGAATCTCGACGCAAAGAAATTGACGAAAATGGATGAGACAATACTCGCTGAAATTGGGTGTGAAACACCCAGGATACACTATGACCTTTATAACGGTGAGTAAAATTATTAATTTATTTTTTATTGTACACATTGTGATTAGTTAAGTGACAAAGAATTTACATGTACAAAGGCGAGATTAACCCAAACCTCAGATTTCTTCCAGAGAACTTTAAGAGAGAAAAGAGGACAGTAGAGAACGTAAACGCAAAGTCATCCCATCGAATCCAATCCAGATGGGTCGGTATAAAGTTTGTTTCAAGTTGTCCTTCTCAGTATTAGTCAGCTCTAATGACATGCACGGGCTGAATAGGGACTGTGACACCCTATAGGCCTGTATTCACCGATATCTGTTCTATCAATACCTCTTTATTAAGTTGTTAATATATCTTGTCTAAACAAAAATAAGTGAAAGTAAATATTTTTTACTGTTTTTGCTGCAGGCCGCTATTACAGGTATTTCTACGCAATCAGCTCAGATGTGGATGCTGAAAATCCAGGAGCGGTGAGATAACATTACTTTTGTTTATTAGCGATTATGACGAACTCATCATACGTGAGTTTATTATTAATGAACTTACTTATAATTTAATCATCATCATTATAAGCAGCCTGTAATAGTCCACTGCTGGACATAAGCCTCTTCTTAGAAATTAGGTTTTGGCCTACTATACCACGCTGGCCAGACGAGTTGGTATAGGGTTTGAAGTTTTACTTCTCTCTGCAGTACTGTTGTTCTGCGTAGTTTTCACCCTTAGTCGGCACTTACGACACCCACGAGATGAATAGGGGTGGTGACACTCTGTATTCTTAATCCGTCACCACTTATAATTTTCGTGACTGTAATCAATTTCACAAAGAGTACTCGATGAAATCGTCATCATCGTCAAGATCGTAGAATAATAATCGTTTTGTAAAAAATACGAAATTCAGTTATTACCATATTTGGATACTACATTGCCTAAATATTATTACTACATCCAAGAAAAAAATTATATATATTTAAGATTTTAAATTATTCAGTGTTTGTTTGACAGGCGCTTATAGTAAAATGAAGCATGTGATTTTTCTAGAATTTTTTATTTTATTTGAAAACAAACCTTATTTTTCACGTGTATGCCAATTTTCATAATTACAGATTTAGAATTGAAAAAGGTATGTCAAAAAAATATCATACTTATTTGAAATGGATCTTCAGAGGAGGCATTGTGAGGAGGTTTCTGTCCCTGTTAAGTGCAATAAATGTCACATCCGACACTATTCTAAGATTATGACAATTTTTCTAATCTTTTCTCTTTAAATTATTTGGGGTCGGTGCAATGACTTTTCTTCCTCCATTCTCCTCGGTCACTCGACATTCTATTTCACGCAATTTTTCGTTTCATTGGGAAATGGTTTTATCTCTTTCTTTTTGGCAGACCACTTACCTAACACCAACCCTCGTTGAAAACGTAATCGTTCCTCGTACATAGAATAAAAGGAAAGATATTTCTGAAGGAAATAATTTTAAATTGTTATTTTCATTCCTTAAGATGTAATTTATATTCAATTGTAAAGCTTTTTATATTTTATTTACTTAAGCGTGAGCCTTCTGTATTATAACGACGCTTTATAGGACAGAACGCTATGACGAAATTGATCTTGAAGTCTTCCGTAGTGAGCATTTGAGTCACTAGTTAGGTGGCAAAAAATAATTCCTCTGGTTTTCATAACGCAGAATGTATATAGTTGTGTTGGAAGGACATTGTAAAGTGATATTCTTATGCAAGAATGCTTCTGCATATAGTTGAAACTGAAATCTAGGTATACGGAAATTGTTTATACATTCATGTCATGATATAAACATAAACGTTGATGAATGTTCCAGGTGATAAAGGTGGATACAAAAACTGGCGAGACAAAGATGTGGTGTGATGTTAACTGTTATCCCAGCGAACCAATATTTGTTCCAGCACCGAATGCCAAGGTAAAATTTTGTTTTGATGATATAAACTATTTTCTCTGTCTCTTTCTGTTGCTTATTTTGATTACATCTGTACCGTAAAAGCTGTAATAAACTCACACATAATACATACGTGGTAAGGGGATATTAAGGACAGAAGAAGTGATTATTTTAGAGTCTGTTTGTAAGTGACTTATATGTATTTTGTAGTATGAATAATCAATAAAAACTACCGGTAGAAACAAAAAAATATATTAAGTATTGTTTGCAGGAAGAGGACGAAGGAGTGTTAATAAGTGCAGTGGTATGGGGTGGAGAAGATACTCAGACGGTGGCTCTTCTAGTATTAGATTCAAAGACTATGAAGGAACTGGCGCGGGTGAAGTTCAACACTCCTTCACCAGTTCCTAAATGTTTGCATGGGTGGTTCTTACCGAAGGTCGGTTGAGGAGCGTAGCTTGGAAGACCAAGACAAGGACTAGATTATCGCACAAAAAAAAATTCTTCCGCCTGCTTCCAAATTATATTTAAATGTATCATGAAATTATATGTTATGTTATAAACTATCTCAGTATGTGGTTTATTAATGAGTGAATCCACAAATAGCGAAAACATAACATTAAATATGTTAAGTTAAATGAAGTGGTAGTCTAGAAAACATGTAGTACTTTGTTGAGAGAGGGAACAAAGGATGATTCTACTTTACTAGACTTATACTTAAATATAGATTCTTTAATTAAACATTAAGTACTCGTATCTGCTTAATATTAAATGTTTGAAATGTGAAATGTATCCGTGCTTTTGTTATTTGTTTCGAAATGAATCTTTCGGGAGTGTTTTATACAAACGACCTGTCGCGTTTTTAGTGTCAAACGGCATGCTTACTTCTGGAATACAAATGATCATGTAATTTCTATTAATGTAATTGAGTTTTGTATGTTGTTATAAAAAGAAAATTTTAAATTTTAAAGCAGTTTTTTTTTTCTAAACAGATCTTTTATCTTTAAAAAAAAAAGACAACTCCTGCATTAGGAATTTATATCCTGTGTCACGGGGGCATTAAAAACATACATGAAACGGATACAAAGACCACCCATACTCAGAAAAACAATTTGTGGATCACACAAAGTGATGTCCTATGTGGGAGTCAAACCCACAACACTCAGCGCAGTAGGAAGCGGTGTGGCGACTGCTTAAACCACTACGCCATCCGTGCAGTCAATTATTGTAATTATTATTATGATGATTTTGTGTTCCTAGGTTATAACAAATTTCACTTCCATGAAGTGACTCAGACTACAAAATATTATCACGTGTCGACTTCTCTTATTTAGTCCAAAATTCTATAAACTTTTTGTTAACAGTGACAACATGCTTATCTACTTTTAAGTAGAAGTAATCTGTATACATTGCGTTTAATTTCGATAAGATTGTTATTCGTAAAAGAGGAGATCTGTAATCCTGTCGATGTTTGTATGATTTTATGAGGGATCTTCTGTTGTTTGCCTACATGTAATTGTCCTTTTATCTTTCCATAGTAGACATATGTACGTATTAAACACCAGTTGCTTAACCACATACAACTTAGCCTTTTTTGTCTTAAATAGATCATGTACTCGTAATAATATTTCAGACATCTGACACACAACGCCATCTAGTTTCAAACTAATCAGGGCTTGTACCATGAAAGCTAGATTGACTGATAGTTTACTTATACGTAGAAAACACCCAAACTTCGAAACAAATACTTGCAGATCATACAAACATTTGGTCAGACCCGGAAATCGAACCTGAGACCTTAGCACAGCAGTCGCATATGCTATCTCTGCACCACCGAGGCAGTTATTATTAAATAATAATAAGTCATTATCATTGTGTTATAATAGGTAGATAGTTGTCCCCTTTTGGAAAACACATAGCATACTACAGCCTATGTGCAGACGTTTTCTTTTAATTCATGGGCATACTTTTATGACAAGCACAAATACATTCATTTGACATGTAAATAATAAGAAATCTTTTTGATTTGATGAGTTCGAAAAAGTGACTAATGCGACAGCAGTTTTGACCATAGCGGTGGTACCAAAAATAACAACCGAATACAACTAACAATTTATACATAAGCAAACTATTAATAGACTGCTATGAACCATTTAACTGCACAAAGAATATGACCTTTCGTTTTACAGTCAAGATTTCCGTTACCAAAGCAACTTCTTAAGAAATTAATCTAATAATCACGTATGTACACTACAGATTAAACATGATAACTAATATTACTCAGGCGCTACACAAACACCGATCTTATTACATGAATATAGTAGTGGACTTAGTGGTGTACTAAAGTTTGCACGAAAAGCGAGACTTATTAATTCAAAAGTAGAAAATAATAATAACGAATTAAATTTTCGACATTATGTGGAACGGAACTGAAGAATTTATAGAAGGATGGAATGAGTTCGTCAAAACGGCTTTCATTGAAGAACCCTATTCGTCTAAAGTGATGTTTTCAGTATCTTTACTAGTCGTGTTCATCATCAGTTTAGTTGGAAATGTGTTAACATGCGTCGTGATTTATTACGATAAAACCATGCACACAGCTACAAACTACTACTTATTTGATTTAGCTGTCTCAGATTTACTCGTCACGTTCCCAATTTTGATCATCGTTTATCAAGTTCTAATACCAGAGATTCCTATAGTGGAGTATAAAACTGGAGTGATGACTTGTAAGTTCATTCTTTGCATTCAATTCACATTTGTTTCCTTACTTTGGAACCACGGTATTCTAGTAATGACAGCGTTATCCATTGAAAGATATATAGCGATATGTTACCCAATGATGTTACAACAAACACCAGTTTGGAGAAGAATTGGAAAGATTATTTTGGCTATTTGGTTGATCGCCATTGCAGAGACACTTCCGTTGTTGTGGACACTTGACGTTGTAGATACTGGCAAAAATTTGAAATGCTTCTCGGTTCCAACTCGTACAGCGAGGATAATAATGGCAACTTTGGCAGTAGCTACATTCATTTTACCTCTAAGTATCATGATTTTTGTATGTACAATGATAGCATTCAAAGTCAATGATAATCAGAAACACTATATGAAAGATACCTTTGTGTATAATAATGCTTTTAAAAGAAAAAATGTTAATAAGTTGATCGGTAAGTGAGTTTTTATGTACCGAACGTATTATTGTGTGTTATCATCTTATACTCAATTATGATGTTTAGCAGCTCTGACGGTGTCTTTTGTGGTTTGCTGGCTGCCGACCTTTACACTGAGGATGTTATTGTTCTTCACGGACATACCGAAGGTGGTGCATTTCCATGGGGTAAGAATGATTCACACAAGTCTTTAGATTTATTGAAATACCAAGTCTGATGTGTTTTATGCATTTTGCAGTGGTTCACAACTGGACACAAAGTTGCGATGTTTAACAGCTGGTTCACTACGGTGCTCAACCCGCTGCTTTTCAGTCTAATATCCATCAAATTCAGAAAAGCACTTAAGGTAATTATTCCGTATTTTATCAACATTTGTACACTGAGAAGCTACGCTAAGTTAAAGTGTTTCATGTAGTTCAGCCTCGAGTGCCACTATATCTGATAAAAGTCAGTTTTTAAACAAATCCGATAATTGCTTGCTTTTATAAGCATAAATGATTTTAACCCAGATTATAGAAATCTAAGTCAGTAATTTCTTCACCTTTATTAACCTTTGTATGTGTATAAATGGTATTTTTCAATAATACAAAAAGATAAGTAGTGTCACAAAAAATATTAATAGAATTTAAACCAAAACTGTTATTGATTTGAAGTCAAAATAGATTATCTCACCAGGACTATTAAGATGCTTTACTTTTAACAACATTAATCATTCATAAAATAAACAATAAACCACCTCGGGTGAGGTCTACTTCGTTAGCTACGAGTACTTTGGCATAGTAATAGTGTTTAATAAATAGGAACCAGCCATAAATTAACTTAAAGACCGACTTAAATGATAAATGATATTTATTTCTGCAAGTAAATCTTTGCTGATACTTATAACTACTTTTATAAGTCGGATTTTTCAACTAGAAGGCGCAGGCATTTCTTAAGACTCACTCTGGAAAGAAGCACAAAGGTGTCTTCTTCTGTTAAGTCCGGTATTTGCGGACCGATACGACCCTCAAAACTTTAAAGAAAAGAGCGTACTCCTTCCTTAACGGCCGGCAACGCTTTGTGAATCCTGAGTTGCAGACGTTAATGGGCGGCGATATTCCATCAGGTGACCCGTCTGCTCATCTGCCCCCTCTAACATAAAAAAAAATGAAATCAATTTTTATTAATTCCAAAATTTGTCAACAACTTTATGTAGTACCCTGGTTTTTTTCTGAACTACTTAAAATATATACTTAAGTAAAAAATATGAAAACAAATACCTTATCTTGCAGATACTATGGGACAAAAAAATCAAAAAACGGTACTTTCAAACAAAGAAAAGTATGACTGCTGAAAATCAAGAAAAAAAGTCAACATCATGTTATCTGGTCGTGCAAACATGATTCGTCCGAATATTAAATCACAGTGTACGTGTGAGGTTGGGTTAATTAATTTTAATTTAAAATGCTAATGTAATCACTAACGCTGTTTTTGTACAAAGAACACCAAAATAAGTTCTCCTGCAAAAACATCACACTTTATATGTTACATGACTATTGTTATATGTTATATGACTTAGTGATGTAGAATTTAAAATTGATTTAATAAATTACTTTAGCGTTTACTTAGCATAACGTTTTCATGTCTTATTCTCTTCATAATTCATTCACGTTCTCATTGAATAATTTACATTATTTTAAAAAGTTATTAGTTCCTGTGGCCATAGGTCTCTCATGAGGGAGAAACATAACTATTGTTCACTATATTTTTTTTTCTGTGCGGAAATTCCCTCGGATACCACCCACCCGTGGTTATGTCGGAGATAATCACTATATCTGATTTAACACCGAAAGGCTTTAATAGTCCACTGCTGAACATAGGCCTCTTCTTTGGATCTTTTTATCTCTTAATTGGGTAATATGATCCAGAGAGTTGAAGTTAATAGGCAGAGGACCCTAGGGTCTCTGGTCTCTATGGGAGTTCCGCAGGGCTCAATTCTCGGGCATTTTTGTTTTTTGTTTATATAAATGACCTACCTCATCTGATAAAAGATAGTCAGGAGATAGTGCTATTTGCCGCAGGTAAACAGGACGGGTTTTCTCCTCCATCCGCTATAGCCAGCCGCAAGGAGGGGACCTCAGCGTTTGCCAGACATAGCCTAAATAGACAATTTACCCAAAGAAGGTGCCCTCGCTGCAGGCGCTGGGAGGTGTCCGGATGTCTTAATATCAGCTGCTCTCGGACCCCTCCTATCTCAGGTGCGGAGTGGTACTGGTTTTAGTCGGTCGACTCGTCGACTGTGGGAATCGCCCACACACCACCCAGTCGCAAACCCAGGTGGGGTGACGGCCCGAGAGGGCTTCTACGCGTTAAACAACAAAAAGGGTTGTGTCAAGTTTTGTGTTATTCAAGTGCTGTTGTCCTGCGTAGTTTATCCCTCCCTCCCTTAGTCGGTTCTAACGACACCCACAGAATGAATAGGGGTAGTGAAACTCCGTATTCTTAGTCCGTTACTACGTGAATGAAATCATAATTTCAAATTTACACAAAAAAATACATATATGCTTTGAGTGCCAACCGAAGCCAGCTCTGGCGGCCACTTCAGGTATATTCATATGACTTGTATAATGAATTACCTAAATCGATGAATAGGGTGTATATTAAAGGATATATTAAGAACAGTTTGTTGTCTCCCTCCGACCACAGGAGGTTCGACCAGGCAAGGTAATCTGGGGTGCTAGGCTAGAAAACCTCCCCGTGGTGCACCCTGGAAACGCTGGCGATGGTACTGTTTCCTCCTTGTCCTCTTGGAGGAGAGGATTATCGCCAGCGGCTAATATTCTAGCAGAAGAGGTAGCCGTTCATCGGCTCTCGGGCAAGGCCTGGTCCAGCAGGGTGGGCGTGTCTGCCGGTTGCCCTGCTGGCTCTTCGCTCTTCGGAGCATGGAGGAGGAAACCTCGGTAAAAAACCGGATGGCGGGGCCCTGTAGGGGCCACAGTTTCTCCGCTGACAGCGGTGGAGAAAGGAGGACGGGCTCGGCGTGTACTGACACTACCACCGAGCAGGCAGGGGGACGTAGTCTCCCTGTCAACCGTCGGCATATCGTAATCCCGAGAAGAGCGCTGTGGTTAAGTCTCGCGGCTCTGATCGGGGGCGAGGCTGGTGGATACTGCCTCCGCCCTAGGGCGACTTTTGCCCAATTTGGGCGGGGCCAGTGTTCCCACGAGGCGGCTGTACGCGTTGGTTGTCCGGTCCATGGTGCTTTATGGTGCACCGGTGTGGGTGGCGGCTCTGACCGCCCCGAATAGGGCGCGCCTCTGGCGCCCCCAGAGGATATTGGCGGTCAGAGCCATACGCGGATACCGCACGGTGTCCACCGAGGCGGCTTGCGCCTTGGCCGGAACACCCCCGTGGGATTTAGAGGCGGAGGTGCTCGCCGAAGTTTATCGGCGAGTGGCTGACTTCCGGGCGGAGAGCGGATTTCGCCCTCCGCCCGAGGACGTGCACGAGTGGCGCGAAGCCGCTTGCCGAGCCACCATGGTCAGATGGTCGTTCCGGCTGGAGACTCCACGCGCTGGCTTCGCCGCCGTGGAGGCTCTCCAGCCGGTCATCGCCGAGTGGGCAGGGCGGCAGCACGGGACCCTTTCCTTCCGGCTGACGCAGGTGCTTTCCGGGCACGGTTGCTTCGGAAAGTACCTGCACTCGGTCGCTAGGAGGGAACTGAGTCCCGCCTGCCACCACTGCGACTGCAGTGAGGACTCGGCCCAGCACACGCTGGCGGTCTGCCCCGCATGGGCGACGCAGCGCCGGGCCCTCACTGCAGTCATCGGAGCAGATCTCTCGCTACCGGCCGTAATTCGCTCCATGGCCGGTAGCGACAGTTGTTTTACTGCGGTCGCAACCTTCTGCGAGGAGGTAATCTCGCAGAAGGAGGCGGCGGAGAAGGCCCGGGAGGACGACCTCCACTCGGACCTGATGACCTCGGCATGAGGCGCGCTTACCTGCGCCTCATGCCGCCCTGAGTGTGGCCGTGGGTGGACGGGGTGGGTTTCCCCTCCACCCGCATTAGTTGGCCAGCCGCGAGGGGGCGGCGTCCGCGTGTGCCGGACGTCGCCTAAAGAGAGGATAAGTGGAGACGGAGCCCGCACCAGGAGCGGGCCGGCGCTGGGAGGGGTCCAGAAGGCGATAACTACCTGGACCCCTCCTAAACTGGAAGCGCAAAGAGGACACACCGTGTGGTTTTAGTCGGTTCGAGTCCGACACACCACCCCGCCGCAAACCCCGGTTCCACACGTTAAAAAAAAAAAAAAAAAGAAAAGGCAAGGTAATCTGGACTGACAGTTTGCGGCTATGAGCTGTGCCTGTACATAAAGTGTATTTTAAAATAAGAAAAGGTGTTTAATAAGCTACACTGATGTGTATTAACAGCCGCTAAAACAGTTAAGGATTTGAAATTTGGTGCTCACGCTCACCCTGAAAATGGCCTTCTGAAAAAGCAGTAAAAAGTGGATGATCTAAGCACACACATTATGTTAACTTGAATATTGTTACGAGCGGGGTATATAATAAGTAAAAGTTCTCGGTTAATTACTTTATTGCTCCGCTTTTACAGAGCTATCGAATTTACTAGAAAGATTAGGGATCTTTCAAGTAGTAGTATTTGATATGAAGACAGTTTAAATTAAATTAAAAGAGAAAAAATATACTCGTAAATCTCTTTCAATAAATAATACAGATGAAATTTAAGTGTTAAAATGATAGGAAGCCCTGACTTCTACGGATAAATAAAAGAATAGTTTAGATATCTATTAGGTTTGGTCGCCCTTTAAACACTCGTGATAAACATTGGTTTAAATTGCGAATAGATGAATCAAATTTTCCCAGAAAGGTCTTGGTGTTTGTTAAAATGTGTAAATGTTTGATATGATATGAATAAAAATAAAAATCAGACTTATTATATGAGAATTAATCGCGACTGTGTAAGTCGTGATTTATTTTTGTAGTTCATTGTCACACACCGTATATTTTAACATTCCCTAACATCGGAAAGTCGAAGGACCATACTATACTAATGGACGCAATACCAGATCTTTCAGGATACACGATAATTATTTTTATACAGTTTGTCTTTGCAAAATGACGATGGAGCATATTATCAAGAATATGCATATCCATATTTCTATTATAAATGTTAAAGTGAGTTTGTTTGTCTCCCTTCACTAATAGAAAGCTTTATTCGGCAACTTTTTACCTTGATATAATCGATATACACGCGGGCAGTGCTGAGGGCAAAACCTAATTATAAATAAAAACACCTTAACCCTCAGTTAAGGTGTTTTTATTTATAATTAGGTTTTAGGTTAGGACTGTACTTCTGTGCAACTATAAATGTTTATTATTAAAAATAGTATTATAACAATATAATTTACTAATTAAACTACACTATTAATTGTTCATGTTTTCTCACATCCATAAAAAATGGCATTAACAAACAATGCTAAAATACCGGTGTTTTTAGACAAAAACGCACACACAAAGGGTGGGAAACTCTAAGAATAACATCAGTCATGAAATTGAGATCTTCAATTCGTGTGACCGGTTCCAAGCGATATTTACGTAAAATACCCGCCAATACAGTTTTCATTGCCATCATAGCAAATTTTTGACCTGAAATCATATAAATGTATTTCTTTATAATCAATAAGCTGTACCAAGCTGTCAATCATAACTTAACCTGTTAACCCTGTTTTTTTTTTTTTTTTTCCGTGCGGAAAACCCCTCGGATACCACCTATCGGTGGCATGTCGGACTCGAACCGACTAAAACCGCACGCCGTCTCGGGTACTAATAGCCGGGGAACCAGGTATACTCTAAACCTGTTAACCCTAAAAAAAATACACCGAAAAACGAACCTCTTCTTTTTCTTGAAGTCAGTTCAAAAGATAAAGGGATGTGAGCATATAGCCATTATGTCCTAGTAGTAATATTGAGATTTGATCGAATTTCAATGAAGAAAAGCTACAGATATTATATTAATAATCTGTAAAATTTACCTCTTGGTCTAGTTGTTGAGTACTAAGCCAGAGGGCGTGAGTAAGATTTCAGCGCAGGACAAACAATTGTTTGATGAGGACGATCATTTGTCCTGTGTCTGAGTGTAATTTATCTATAATAATATGTATATATTTACAAATATGTTTATCAGCAGTCTGGTTACCATAGTACAGGCTCTGCATAGTATGGTAGTAGACTGTCGTGAGATTTGTTAAGTTATATTTATAAATCTTCAAAAAACGGTTTCTGTTTTAAATGTTATTAATTATAGAGAACAGTAATGGATTATTTAATTTATTTGTAGGAGCGAAACAGTGACTAACCACAATTTTAAAATGAAGTCTCTTGTTTGAACTCAAATTCTCATCTTCTTTCTTAATTTGATCACCAAAGGGGGTAAAACTGACGAGACTTATATGAGTTCTATTATTTTCGTAAATCCATTAATAAAATACTTAAACTATAAGCTCACCTAAGCAGTTCCTAGATCCAGCACTGAAAGGTATGTAAGCGTATGGGTGGCGTTTCACTGAATTTTCTGGTAAGAACCTCTCTGGGATGAACTTTTCCGGATCAGAATACAAATCTGGGTCATGATGCAAATCATATATGTGGATATTGTAGTAAGTATTTTTTGGTATTATATAGCCAGCTGTAAGAGAAAAAATGTTACAGTATCTAGATATTTAGCGATTCCTTCATGTGTTTATGAGAAAAAAAAACACTATAGTCACCAATTGTGAGGTCTTCAGTGATGTATCTTGATATAAATGGTACACTAGGATACAGACGGAGTGATTCCTTGATACAACATTCTAAATACTTCATTTTACTTAGATCTTCTATAGTGAGGTCTCTGTCAGTGTTATCAAAAATAGTTTCCAATTCTTCGTGAATTAATTTCTGTAAATTGCAATGGCAACTTATCGATTTAAAAGTCGTATTCAGTTTAAAACTCTAGCTGTATTATACCTGCAGTTCTATATAGATCTGAATGTTGGCCAACGAAGAGAATGGACATAGCTGAAATGCGACTGTAAGGATGGATAAGCGGGTGACTACGATGGACAGGGTGACGAATGAATACATCAGAGAAAGCCTGAAAGCAGCGCCAGTGGATAAAAGGTTGAGGAGCAATATGTTATCCGTGTTTCAGCATATGATGCGTAGACATGAGCAAATTGTAGTGATGATGGATGGATGGATGGATATAAAGATTAGAGGACGACCGAAGAAAAGAAAGATGGAGTGCCAAAAAAAATGCCTGAAAAGGAAATAAGCTGTGTACTGGCGAATAATAGAGAAGAATGGAGGAAGGAAACTCATTGCACCGACTTCAAATAAATTTAAGATGAAACGATGATAAAATAATAAAATATAAACCTGTATAGCAGATTCGTTGGCTAATCTTACGATCATAAAAATCAATGTTGTCGCAGTTGTATCAAAACTCTGAAATAAGTAAGTATCGTTTAGAAAATACGAAATATAACGGTTCATCAGTCAGAATAAATCAGAATAGTCAGTTCCAAAATAAGCAAAACTTGTACATGCAGCAGTTTAGAACAGGTTTTGACTATTTTTCCATATGCCAGTGCGGAAATTGTAACCTTTATTTTCGCTTTAGATGTTATCACACCTTTATAATTGACAAATAATTTTTTGACTCCAATGCGTAATGGTTTGGCCATATTATTCATACAAAGAAGAGTGACAGGCGATTTATAATTATCTGAATTTAGCGGTATTTAAAAAAGACCGACTAGAGTGTTTTCAAACACACTTATCTTTTTAGTTCTAAAGATATCTAGAAATATTACTATTTTTAGATCTTGGTAAATCACCAAAATCATATTGTAGAGTAGGTGATCATGAGTTTGTATGTATATATCACTAGACAGATATTAAAATGATGATGTATCTACAGACTCGGTTTTTAAAATGGCATTAACAGTCACTGCTACCAGTGACTCTTGATTGTCGGTGTTGTTATTTCACAACACCGTTAGCGACATATACAGATTTGACAAAACAAAAACTTGATTACCTCAAACAAAAACGTATTAACATCGTCCCGAACTCTCTTTTCATCAATATTACCTTTATTTACTTTATCTAATAGAATATCTAGCATAATCCTATTATGTTTCTCATTATTAACTGTTTTATTTAGATCCGCTTGCCGTTTTCTTATTATTTCTTCAGTAAAATTATGTAAGTCTCGTATTAATGATTGTTCCTTTAAATAATAAGAAGTTGTCTTATAAAGAAAGTCTACTGTATACCAGGGCTGTACCAGCCGGTTTATATAGAAAAATCCCAATGTATCTACATTTTCTATGTATTTGTCGACAGACGTTGTATCGGATATCTTTGTTCCTAATAAGGTTTCTGAAATTTCAATATGTAATTATTGATAAGTTAATGCAATAGAAAACTATGTTAAAAATCCACTCAAAAGACTCTAATGTCACATAGCAGCAATGTGGGGCTGTATTTACCAAATAAGACTTACCACACATAGTACCAACAGTTAGTTGGACGTAGTTACACAAAAAGGAACCAATCCACAAAACTACCAAAATTGAGTTAAGTATGCCAAAAAGTCCGTGAAGGTCGATACTTTCATGCAGTAAAAAGATTCCAGTGAAATACGAAACAATTTCATTGTTATCAACACAAGGTACCAGTCCACATGTATGGCGGGCATTTGTTTTGAAGCAACTAAAACAATCCAATCTTCATGGATCATTAGTAAGAAAAAGTGTTTATTGGTACTTATTTAAAATATATAATCTTAAAAGAGATCCAATTCACGTGGATCATTTCTGATAATTATAATTATTTAAAAATCTATACATAGTAAATCACACAAACGATCCAAAACACTTGAAACCTTTCTGATGAACATTATCAATAACTCATAAAATAGTGTTGAAAAACATAAAAAGAATCCAAAGCACAAGAGTTACTTCTGAAATACTTATTTGCATTGTTATTACATTTAATTAAAATATCTAAAGGAAAATAAACAAACAATAAATAATAAACAAACATTTAACACAACCGATAACAATATTCAATATTGGAGCTTCTACAAACTTTGCCTGATGAACAAAGCCCATCAGAAATAAATATAGTTGTCAATTTTTCCGATAACAACGAAAACAATACTGAAGTTACAGAAACTGATTGTTTTATTACACCAATAAGTGACTTCAATCGTGATACGGACTCAGATTTTATACCAAATAGTGACGAAAATACGAGTGATGAAGAAGACTTAGGTACATCGAGACAACTGAGTGTTGTTGCTTTAGTGCATAGTTCAAAGAAACAAAGAATTGAAAATGACATACCACGCATACTGACGACCATTAATACCAATGTTGAAGTTATAGATAACAGTGATTTGATAAAATGTGAATCGATAAATGAAACTCGAAATGATGCTACTACACAACAAGAAATAGAGAATTTATCTATTTATCAGAAGGTCGACCAAAAAAGGGTAGGAAACGAATATATCCAAATCACACTGTTGCTCAAACTAAACTACGGAGATATTAAAACTTACCATATTATTCAAAGAAAAAATATATTCCGCCAAAAAAATTTCTAGATTTTACCTGTAATTGTATCAAACAATGTAACCATTTAATTATAAGAGAAAAAAGAGAAGAAGAATTCCAAAAACTTGTTTTAATGGGCTTTTATGAAGCCCAATTATTATATATAGAAATTAATGTAGAAGAAAGACCCAAAACAAGATCTTAAACAGTCACTAAAGAAAATAAAACAAATAAGAAAAGACCCAGAGAATACTCAAGAAAATACACTATATGTGGGGTTGAAGTTTGTAAACCCATGTTTTTGAATAATTTTCAAATAACAACTAAAAAAATTGATGTTTCTCTACGAAAAAATCGAAATGGGTACATGATTAAAGACAGAAGAGGACTTTCACAAGGTGGTTGGAATAAAACTCAGCTAGTAGATATTGTTCGTTAAAGATATCATAAGCTCATTACCTAAATATCAATCGCATTATAGAAGAGAACAAAGTAATGGTGTTATTTATTTGAAATTAGGAATGACGATACAAAAAATATATGATTTATACTTGGAAAAATTTGGGAATGTATACGGCAGTTCGAAGAGTCCATTGTCATTGACTACAGTAAAACGCATATTTTATAAATATTTTAATTTACGCTGCAAGACACTAAAAAAAGACACTTGCACAAGGTGTGATACTTTCACTAATAAAAAAAAATTGTTTGTTAGATGAAGAGAAAGAAAAGTTACAACATGAAAAAGAAATTCACCTAAAAAAAGCAGAATATTTGAAAAAATATATGAACGAAGATATAGCACATTCAAAAACTGACGAAGAATTTGAATGCTTAACATTCGACTTAGATAAAACGCTTCCATTCCCACGTATACCAACCAGCATTATAAAAGGCAATTGTGGTTGTATAACTGTGGCATCCACGCCGGCTCTAACAATACTGGTCATTGATATATATGGATCGAAGGAGAAGCTGGTCGAGGGGCCCAAGAAATCGGGTCATGTTTGATCAATTTCATAAAGTACAAACTTGACCCAAAAGTAAAACACTTAGTGTTATGGAGTGATTGCTGTAGAAACCGCAATATAAATGTTGATGTATGATGTTGAAGGTAGTGTTAAACTTGCACCATACTCTGAGGACAATAGATTTCAAATACCTTGAATCAGGTCATACTTTCCTGCCCAATGATACTGATTTTTCCAAAATTGAAAGCCAATTAAAATTTCATCAACGAATTTACACTGCTGACGAGTCATTAGGAGTTCCAAAAGAAAGAATCCGCTCGAAGTTAAAAAAAAGGTTAAAGAGGACTTCTTAAGCTCAAAAAATATTGAAAAAAATATAGTTAACAGAAAAACTTTTACAAACAAGCAGAAAACTAATTGGCTACAAACAAAAGTGATTTCATTAAAGAAAGAAGAGAAATATATTATTTTTATGAAGAGTGAAATAAATAACGACCAGTGAACTTAATATACAGAAGAAAGTCAAAGGAAAATCTTTAGATTTTTCTGAAAACGGCTTTATCATGTTGTGGCCTACAGGCAAAAAAATCGCTCAACCTAAACTGGATGATCTGAAGTCAATGTTCCACTTAATTCCGAAAGACTGTTTAGACTTTTACAAGTCTCTTCAGGGGGATAAAAATATAGAGGATGATCTTCAGCCGTCAGCTTGATTTTCAGATTGAAAATGAAAGTCAGGCAGAATGAGCATTATAATGACTATGCAGAGTTTTGTTTTGATTACAGTTTAATTATGTTATCAACAGTATTGATCTCATTATTTTATCCATTGTTTTTTTAAAATTGATAGGTATGTTATAAGAATAATACAGTTTTAGTAATTTATTAGTTATTTTATTTATTTTTAAAGATTTCGTTAGCAGTTGATGAAGTGGAGCTTTACTGCGAAACTATCATTTTATGCTGGTCTTATTGAGAATACTATATATCAAAAAGGATTCAAGCCCCTATTTTCTTGAATATTATTGAAAATATGAAATCAAACTTAGTGAATTTGATTTATAGTTAAAATATAACAAGATTTCCTACTAATTTTAATAAAACCGACAAATTTATGGTACCGTATCATAGAAGAATTACGACTTAAACTTTAAAGTTAAATATCTCAAAACTAGCTTCATGTGGATTGGATCCCTATCGTGTAACTACGTCCAGTTTACGCATAAGTGGTGTGAGGTCTGTTTTAGTTTTACCGACTTCAATCTTTAAAGAGTCTAAAAGAACCTGAGTGTGTTCGCAGAAGTTGGTGAAGAACTTTTGCAATATGGTGAAATTGAAAGCTGGAGTTAACAATTTTCGCTGACGTTGCCATGTTTCTCCTGTAAAGAAGAAACACCTTATAAATAAAATGTATTTCTGTATAGGATCGAGAGGACACCAAAGCTACTTTAATTTAATTGATGATGGTAAGCTGACAATAATTTTGGGACCTAATACACGAAACCAAACGATGTTACATGATGTAGATTGTGAACATATCACATGCTCACGGTTGCAATGACGTCTCAACAATTTCTTGAACAAATTGGTGGTGATTGGTGATGTATGATATGGTTTGACACAAGAGTCAGGAAGTAACTTGTGGTGATTAGTAATTGAAGCGCACGCCTCCCTATAGGTTGTAGAACGGGAACACCGAGGGGGTCATCAACAAGCCGAAGAGCACCCGGGGTCAGTCGGGGTACCAGGGATTTCCTTCCTAGGGTAGACCTGTTTCCTCGGCTACTCGTACTCGAGACGGTGTGCTGCTTTTAGTCGGTTCGAGTACGACATAACTACATTCAGAGAGATTATTTTGATACTGTTATAGAGCTGTACTTTGAATTTTTGTATGAATTTACACTTACCATTACTGATTAAGAGACCATCTCCAAGCCAGTTGTAGAAAAACGTATAGGGCATGTCCTTGTTATTATAGCGAGATGAAGAAAGCAAGATCTGTAAAAGGTAATCAAAATCAAACAAAAAAGCGTGCGGTGCTTTTTACTATTGACAACAGGCTTTTTTTTTTTCAAGTTTATTAAAATTTATTTTCAATTTTTTTAGTTTGGTTTTCTATAAAAACCGTGTTTTTTAGTTTTTTTAAACTATTATTATTATCTTTTAATTATTAATTTTTATTTTTTATTTTAAATTAGTGTATGATCATCGGTCCTCGATATATCTACAAAATTTGGACGAAGCCCAAAGGAGTCGGTTACAAACAAACATACAGGTGAAGCTAATAAAAAGCGTGACTGATGACCAAGCGAAGTTAAGTGTTCATACCTCAACATCATCCGGGTTACTTAAATGGATCGTACGAAACATGAAACCCTGTAATTTGTAAATACGGCCATAGGTCTTGTGCCACGCTCGTGTATTTTTATATAATATTTCTGTAATAAAAATAATGCAATGTTTTAATTACTTAGCTAGCTGGTGCCCGCGACTTCGTTCGCGTGGAATTTGAATGGAAAATGTTTGTTCTATTTTTCAATTTATAATATGATATAATATATATATTAAGTATAAGTAATGAAAGCACTGCCTTAGTGGTGTAGTACGGTACGCGACTCCAGCCCAAGAGGCCTGGGGTTCGATTCCCCAAACGGGCAAAATTTTATGAGGTTATTCTGAGTAAAAGTTACTTCTTATATAGACAGCTATCTGGTAGTGAAATATTATCAAAAATGGTCCAGACGTTCTGAAGATTAACCGGAACAAACAGACAGACAGACAGACAAAAAATTTAAACTGGTTTTTATTCATAGGTCAGCATGCAAAAAACCTATTATTTTAACATTACAACGAGACACTTCAATTTTATTTATTCGTATAGATTTGATCTTTTTTATGGTATAGGGGCAAACAAGCAGAGGTCACCTGACTACCTCCGCAACTAGACACTTGATGAAATTTAAACTTCAATTCGTATTTGCTTCCCTAAATATCTATTAATGAAAATTGCATTTTAACATTTCTAAGGGGAGGCCTATGTCCAGCAGTGGACTATTAAAGGCTGTTGATGATGAAGGTAATAAAAAATTAAAGACCCAAAAAAAATACAGCCACAAACTTAAGCGATTTATTTAAAAATAAGTTAAATCATTAGTCGTAGTAACATTTTTAAGATTTTATAATCTGTTAAAAACTTTTTGCTTAAAACACTAGTAGAAATAATAAAAAAGGTGACCTCACTTGAGAAGAAGCCATAAAATATTAAAGTTCTTCAATTATTTATCATATTTTTTTTTCTTTTTTTTTATCCGAAAATCCCCTCGGATACCACCCAACGGTGGTGTTCCCAGGTATGGTTATGTCGGACTCGAACCGAATAAAAACCGCACTCCGTCTCAGGTACGCTTAGCCCCAGATGTACCTAGGAAAAGTCAAGTAACTGGACAAATATTAAAAATAACACTTGAATTCTAATTTTATTTCATACTCTATTATTGTGAAAAGCCTTTACGCACTAAGTCATAGAAAGTACTGTTCAATTATACAAGGTGTCTCAAAAGAAAGTTTATATTTATTTAGCTTACTGCGTGAACGCAACGAGTCCGAGGGGCACGGGGGTTATGTCAATCGGTAGCCTGGCTCTTGGGAATTCAGTTGCTATGGAGCGTTTCTCGGGAGCAGACCGTACGTTGTGCGTGCGAGAGTTTTACAAAAACGGTGATTCGGCGACTGTAGCGCGTAGAAGGTTCTGTAGTGTTCGAGGTTTTCGCCATTTAAATGATGCGCCAAGCATTCCTCTTATTCGAAAATGGGTCAAAAAGTTTGAAGAGACCGGTACAACGCTGGAAAAACCAAAATCCGGGCGACCAAGGTCATCAAGAACGGTAGAAAACGGGGCGAGTGTTAATCAGTCTGTTCGTGACGACCCGAACCTTTCAATTCGGAAGCGCGCAAGTGCTTTAAATGTGCATAGATCATCATTACACCGCATTTTGCACAAAGACCTAAATCTGCACCCCTACAAAATTCAATTGGTGCAAGAATTAAAGCCCCAAGATGCCAGTCAGAGGCTTGACTTCGTAAATCAGGCGATTGAGCGCTTTTCAACGTTTACCAACATCTTGTTTTCGGATGAAGCTCATTTTCATGTTAATGGACACGTAAATAAGCAGAATTGCCTAAAGTGAAAGCATGGGCGGCTATGTCGGCGCGAGGAATTTTCGGCCCTTACTTTTTTGAAGACGAAAGGGGGCGTGCAGTTACAGTGAATTCAGAGCGTTATGTGGAGATGTTAAACGACTTCTTGGTGCCTGAACTGCAAAACTTGCCTGGCCATAACTAAAGAACATGGTTCCAGCAGGACGGAGCAACGTCACACACGTCCAATACGTCTCTGCCACGACTTCGTGAAATTTTCTCAGGAAAATTGATCTCCAGGAGAGGTGACATAAATTGGCCTCCACGCAGTCCTGATTTAACCCCTATGGACTTTTTTCTATGGGGTTATCTTAAATCTAAAGTTTACGCGAATAAACCGACTTCCCTGGCGCATTTGAAAGAAAATATCCGTCACGAAATGGCAGCCATCACTGAGTTCACCTGCCGAGCCGTCTTAAGTAATTTTACTGTTCGATTAAATGAGTGCTGCGAACGCGAGGGTCTACATTTGGAGGATATTATTTTTAAGAAATAAATGCCCAAATTGTGTACTTTAATAATTAATAAAAAAAAATTCGATACACTGCTTACTTTTTTTTAAATCGATCTACTAAATATAAACTTTCTTTTGAGACACCTTGTATTATGTTTACCTGGTGTTCCGTATAATGACAGGAAGTTTCCGATGAAGAAGTATTCTTTCGGGCCTGGAATTTTAGCCATTAACCGACCTGCACGGGAATATCGAAAGTACAGATGTGTTATTAGAATAATTGCACTCAGGGTGTATATGCACTCCCAAAACATTGTGAACGTATGCTGTGTACACGGACTACAAAATAGTACTAAATACTTCTAACGGCTTTAACTTATATACCTTCAATTAGACAAAGTCGCAACTTAATTATAAATTAATTATCATAAATTAAATATAATAAAAGATGTTACAATTTTTCTATCATAACGGGCTGTCTTGGGGTCAGGTTGTGATCTCTTTCGCGGATATAATCGCTACCCAAACTGCGCGAAGTGTTGTTTACGCATTGCATTGGCACGCGCGGGACCAATGGGTTGAATGTACTTTAAGCGATCCCGCCATGACTGATAACGGCGATTTTCGGCGCTGTGATACGCCTGTACCCAGAAATGATGTTTACATCATTTCAACATTATTGAATGATTCTTTGGATGGATGGATGCTATTGATGTTGATAGTAAAAATTAAGAGGAGCAATCAAGGTCAGAAAATAGGGATAGAGAGGACAGTACTGAAGACGAAAAAGGTTGGAAATAAGTTAAGGCGAGCAGAAAAAGATCTGTCACGGTAGTAGAAATTCTGTATAAAAGTATGAGGTGTATGTTTCGCACAAAGAACGCCTTCTGAAACAGTTTGCAATGGCATGTATTTTAAAAGAAAGTAATATCACTAAAATAAGTAAAGTCAAATATTTAAGCAGTTTTAAAATACGCTTCGGATTTGACTGTGAATCGGCTGCTCAATACCTTTTTATGTGCAAAAAACCTTTTAGAGAAGATGGAGGTTCCAAAAATCTATGCTGTATAGCTGTCTGTTTGCTATGGTATAAATAAAGACGGAGACCTCAATTTTCCTGATGACGAGATTCACAACAGTATTTTTTGTCCGGCCCCGTAAATATCCCGTGACAGGAAGAAGATGGTTGGTGCCCCAGCGAAACCCTTCGGCTTTGTTTAGAGGATGATCATTTTCCAGAATCAGTTCGTGTATGTGATATAAATATTAAAGCTTTGCCTTACGTACACCAAGTGATACAGTGTACCCTATGTTGGAGATAAGGTCATGTGCGTAAGATATGCCCCTCGAAAACCGTGGTTTGCCCGAAGGTTGGTGGGCGTCATGAATATTGCGATACTACATAGTTTACATATGTCAACTGCAAGGGTAAACACAACAGCTGGTCTTGTCCAGTTTACAAGAAATAGAGAAAACTAAGAGAAATTATGACTGAGTTTGGTTGCACATATAGGCAATCTCTCGAGTGTTGTGTGCCCCCAAAAAATTCCCCTGCGCCCAATAGTATCGTCCCTCCACAAACTGCGGTTACAATTGCAAATTGCTTATCCTCTACCCCTCTTGAAGACATTTGTTTACAAATCGGAAAACCCTACTTTTGCCGAAATAATTAAAAAAGAGGCCACAGTATACAAGTTACAAACCCCTGCCACGCTCACCGATTGTCTTTTGATGACGAAGATAAAGACGAAAAGACGAAACCCCTTCTTTCAAAGAACTGTGTCCTAGAATAAAGGAAGTCATCTATGCCTAGAATTGTTAACCCTAGTGTCAGTGAGTTTCGTTTCAGAGTGGCCGTGAATAAAAGCTCTGTTAAAAATTTGATGGCTTTGAGCCATGTGCACACAGGTTGACATTATTATATAAGATATTCATAAGGGAAGATTATGGATCCTACAGCGGTGCCTTTGTCTGTGTTTATGCTATTACTGTACATACTGGACAGTTTAGTGATAGCACGATAGTTGTTACAGTCTCCATGATCACCTTTTTTGGAAATAGGTCGGCCTACGCCTATTTTTAAATCATCCCGGTAACTAGATGTGACAGTGCAGCTGTTAAGCAAATGAGTGATTGCCGGTGTAATTTCTCTGTTAATATTTTTTATGTCACTAACTCTTATTCCGTCTATCCTTGGGCTTTTATTTATGTTCAATTTATTTCTAGTTTTGTACGCTTTAATATTATTTATTTTCGGCATTCTCAATTTCACATCTATCTCGCTATTGGCATTAGATGTCAGCTCAGTTAACGTTTTTTTATTACAGCTTTTAGCATTTATGTTAGTATTTCTTTTAATTCGTCTGCGAATGAGTTTGCCGTATTCTGGTCTACCAAAAAAAAATACTTTTGTATCGTTTCGTCCACTGAGCATACAACCTTGCCATACAACTCATTTATAATCTGCCATAGCTTTTTCGAGTTATTAATTTTTTTAGCTATTACTTCTTTGTGAATTTATTTTTTGTATAATGAATATTTCTATATTTTTTATAAATGATTTTGTTTTCTAAATTTTACATTCTTTTATATATTTTAAGCAACTTATTTCTATGTTTACATGTTTTTATTATACTTCTATTTATCCATTTACATGCATTTGATCTTTATTTATACAATTCATTTTTTTTGTTTACATTTACTACATATATCTGATAGTCTGTTTCATTACTTCCGTCCAAAACATTGATTCTTAGTGACTTAAATGCCTATCACGCCAGTTGGCCTTATCAATCTGACCCCAGAATTAGTCTTATTCACGGCTCAATAATAGATAAAAACTTTATTTCTAATAATATAACACATACATGAGTTCAATTACTCATTTACTACGTTAACTTATACCAGTCCTCCCCAGATACTTCGCTGGTTTCTATAGATATTGCGTTTAATTGGACCATTTTAAATGATTCTTTACAATTGGTTTAAATTTTAATTATTAAAGTTTCAACATTGCGTACCTCCTGCTTTCCTTTAGGTATTAAAAGGAATTTTGGGAAAGCAAACTCTACTTTATATAAAAATAGCTGGAAGAAAAATATCAAAATTTATGTTTACCAAATGATTTTCAAAAAGCGTATAATACATTTTTAGACATTCTGAATGATGCGATGTTTAAATTTAATCAAAATCCCACTTCAAATTTCACTCCGAAAATATACTGGACTGCCGAACTGTCACGAGTTGTGGCCCATCGAAGGTTAACTTTATCTAAGTTTAAGCATAATCTCATACCCCAAATCCAATACATTTTCTGTGAACACAGTTGGTTTCGGTAGGGGTACCTAGGTCGTGTTTAGACTGCTGCCTGAACACCATTATTCAAACTGGTTTTACTGAGGGTTGTTCTAGTATAGGTTGTTTTTTTAGATATAAATAATGCGCACAACAATGTAAAAAATTCGGTTTTAATAAATCTTTTAGATAGCTTAAAAGTCGGTACCCTCCTCTGTAGATATCTATGGAATTTTCTTCATAAAATAGTACTCAAGATAAGATCTGGTAATAGCTTGATTAGCAGACATTCTGGTAGTGGTTTGGCTTAGGGAGATCCTCAATATTTATTTTTGTTTTTCACCCACACGGCCGTCTGATCCCAAACTAGGCAGAGCCTGTACTATGGTAACCAGACCGCTGATAAACATACCTACATATTTTTAAATAGATACATATTATAGATAAATTACACCCAGACACAGAACAAATGACCGTGCTCATCACACAATATTTGTCCTGGCTGGGAATCGAATCCACGACCTCTGGTTTAGCAGTCAGGGTCACTAACCACTTGACCAACATACCCGTCTGCGTCAACTATTTAACATCAGAAATTTGTAAACGTGTACAAAACAATGTTTGTGTATCTCAGTACGCTGTTGACTTAGCTATTTCCATACGTCACACTTCTATATGCCCTCGGGAGGGTTATTCGGAGGCTTTCCGCGTGTCCCTCTGTTTGGTGGAGTGGAGAGCAAGCTAAGGGGCGGACGAGTTCTCTACCACTGGCAGTCAACCCACGATCTGACGTCTGGCAAGGGGATGAATCGCTGGAGGGAGTCCAGTGCCGAGACACTGGCCAGGTAACGCAGGTGCCTCAGGCGCCGGAGGTCGCAAAATGACCTCCGTCCTCCATAAGCAGGCCTGGGGGTGACAGGTGAGGTCATCTGCCACCTTAGCAGAAGCAGGCCGGGGTGGCGGCGAGACGTGCTGCGCAGCGCGCGTGCAGTTTCGGGTGCACCAAGGCACCATGGGGGTTCCCACACAGGAGGTGGTCATTTACCCGCCGTAGATGGCCCGAGGTACGTCGAGGTAAAAGGGATTTCCTTTCTAGGGTACACCTGATTTTCCGGCTACTGGTACCCGAGACGGCGTGCGGTGTTTAGTCGGTTCGAGTCCGACATAGCCACCGGTGGGTGGTATCCGAGGGGATTTCCGAACAGATAAAATAAATAAATAAGAATTACAACATCTTGCTATTACGTAATACAAAGGCAATTTGAAGAAATCTAATAGTTTAAAAAAAAAAAGTTGGCAGCTAAAGTATCATTAAGAATAAAACTAAAAACCTAAAATTATAAACTTTAATTAAGTTGCCCTGACTCGACAATTTTCTTTACTCTGTGCTTTTGAATTTTGCCAGATGTTGTTTTCGGAAATTCTTGGGTGATTTTTACGATCCTAGGTATTTTGAATCGAGCAATACGACCCGTACAGTGTTGTTTAATGTCATCAGGAGAAATCGAAGCGCCTTCCTTCAGCCGCAAAACAGCGCAAAGTTCTTCACCTAATCTCTCATCAGCAACTCCTATCACCTGCAAAAAGTTAAAGTTAATTTTTAAAAAATCTCAAGATGATAATTATTATTGGTGTAACTTAAGAAATCTCACACACGTCCGTCTCACGTGTAACCAGAATGTTGATAAATATAATTTTACATTACAGGTAATTAAAACACGGACGGCGTAATTATTTAAGCGGTCGCCATGCCATGACACTTTGGGTGATCCACAAACTGTCATTCTGAGTCTGGGTGTATATCTGGTGTGTCCGTTTAATGTATGTTTGTAAAGTCCCCCGCGACACAGGATATTTTCCTAATGCAGGCGTTGTCTTTTTTTAAAACAAAACAAACACAGAACAAATGATTGTAGTGTATCCCACAATTATTTGTTCTGTGGGAAAAACCTATTATAAACTGGCCTACTATTGTAAAAAAAATGGATTGCCATTGATTTGTGATTGTTTTTCTAAGTCTTTAAATGCTTGCAAATGATATGCAGCTTCACTCTGCATTCTCTATCGTATATAACATGGAGAGCGCTCCGAGAAATTATTCGGACTAATACCGGCATGAAAATTAAAATTTCACTTTCAATTAAACGGTATCATCAAGGGTGTTGATGTAGATTTAGATGATAAATATATTATGGATATTTTGGAGTCTAATACGAAAATATTATCTGTTAAAAGGTTAAAAAGTGCGCGTGCACGCAGTTGGGTATCGATTCCGATTTAAAGCATTTGTGCTCCCTGTCACTCAATGCACAGGGTTTGGCTGTTCGGACATTATATAAAGAACTGTCCTTTAAAAAAATGCCCGAAATGCAAAGGTGATCATGACAATTGTGATATAAATGAATACAAATGTCTAAATTGTGGAGGGCAGCACTTTGTCCGTTATATATAAGAGAAAAAGATTATGGCCAAGAATCACATTACGTACCGAAAAGCTTTACAAATATACACTGCAAACAAAGTAGAAAAGCGGAGGAGTCAGACAGTCAGTAGAAAATGGTAAAATAGTAATCGAGAATTGTGAGACAAATATCAGCAAATAGTATGGAAGATATGTTTTTAATATTTTTGAAACAATAGACAACAAGGTAAAACAATTTCCAAGTAGTCTATTCAAGAATGAAGGTATGTTAAAAAACTTTCTTTTTCAACTACGTGATTGATAAAAGCTGGAACTGCACGGTTATATTAACGGACAGCAAAGGTGCATTGCAACACGTGACTTGATGCGCCTCTGATAGCAGAGGTGTTTTGAAAGCCTATATAATCCTTTGAAAAACTATTACAAATACAAGAAGTAGGTACTGTAGGTAGTAGGACTCTGAGGTTCCAATGGGTGCAGGCTCACATTGGATTACATGGTAACGAAGAAACGGACAGAATGGCTAAAGAGGGCTGCTTACAAAGAGTTGAATTTAATATTCTACCTGATTATTCGAAAGTATTACATAAATTCAAAATACTAAATTATAATAAATGGAAGGTACACTTTAAGGAAAAATCTGAACGAAAGGAATTTGGTACAGCACTTTACAATCTGAGCCGTTTTGTATACCATGGTTTATAGGAATATTAATAGGAACCATATAAAAATGTTATTGAGACTTCGATCTGGATACATTCCATCGAATAAATTTGCATACCTAATGAAAAAGAAAAATTCTCCGATTTGCAACTTATGTGAAGTCGAAGAGGATAAAAGGTGTCAAGAGACACATTCCATTACCGCGATAAAGAAAAAATGCACCGATGGCAACATTGAATGTAAACCAGATTGATGTAGGAATTGCGCAGACTATTCTTTCACTACCAATATTTTCAAAACAGCTGTTCAATGTTTTCACAGTGACGCGCAATTTGTAAACTATACATATAGAAGATACAATGGGGTTGACATGTCTAAATAGACAAAAATCCCTAACCAACAACAGAGGAAAAAAAAAACCTGAGTTTGCCCCCTCCTCCAAAAAAAAAATTTCTTCAAAATCAGTTTAATAAAACGTGACAAATATGTGACAAAAATTTTGTAAACTTTACCTGACTTTCAACGATGTCAGGGTGAGTGTTCAGGATATCCTCTATCTCTTTTGGAGCTATATTTTCTCCTCCTCTAACTATGATGTCCTTTAGCCGACCAACAACTCTTCCATAACCGTCTTTACTTATTGCGAACAGGTCTCTGAAAAAATGCGTGTTTTGAGTATCATTATCATTTTAAAAACAAATAGTATAGCTTGCTCTATTTATCTTTCAATGAAAAAATCTTTGGAAATGAGAACTAAATCAATTTTAAATTTTGGCAAAATATAGTTGAAATGTTTTTTTTTTAATGAACTGAACTCTTTTTTGTGTATGTTCTTTTGTTTATGTAAAAAATACAAATAAATTTATATTTAATGTTTTGTAGATGAGATAACATTAACAACACATTCTCAAGTCAATTTGTTTTATTCTTTAGTCAACATTATATACTAGCAAAATGAAGTGAACATTTTAGAATATTTACAGTATTCGAGAATCTTATCGCACCAATGACTATCATGAGATCAAAGCGCTGCGCTTATGCTGAGCACTCTACTAAATATACACAGACAGCTATCTGCGTACTAACAAATGATTGTTCTTTTGTACAAAATTTTATCCCCTTTTATATCAAGGTTTATTTTCGGAACAAAATGTAGGTATGTTCCTCTCTAATATCTTGTATTGTTCTATCATTGTATTGTGATAACATGAATAATATCAAACATACAAAGAATTTACTTCGGTCAGAGGTGTTGGACTTACCAGCATCTGTCGGTTTGATTTAAAGGTATGCATCCCTGACCTACTCAAAATATACTGAAAATATATATATATATATATATATATATATATATTTATATATATATATATATATATACTCTACTTATTTATTATAAGAAATAATTCTTAAAATAAATCTATTTCATCCGCAATTATATTCAGAGTACGTAGTGCGCGCGTCAGCGGTGCTTCTCTCTGCAGGTTGGTGCGCCCGCATGGGACAGCCAGCATCGGCGGCCGCCAGCGCCGCCACACGTATCTGTCCGGAACACATATGCTGACTCGTCCTAACACGTCTTCATTATGTATCCCACCCCTAAGTACCCTAAACAGGTACGAGACGAGTGTGAGCTCCCTTCTGACCCTCAGTTCATTGATATAAGAAATTGCCCATATTCCCGGATCCATCCATACAACTACTTTTCCCAATTTTCCCATCTAATTCCTAAAGTGTCCGGTTGATGGCAGTAAGCATTTTTACGTAGCGGGATTAAAATCATAGATGGCAAGATTATCCTTATCTAATTACTCGTTCGGGGTATATGCATGATTGTGTTAGACATACTTAGGGTGCCCAGCATTTTCATCACGCGTGTTGTACAACCTTACCGTACCAACCAACCAACCAACCGTAAAGTACCTAACAACAAAGTATATTCTTCACTTAAGTTTTTTTTTGTTTTTGTTTCTATATTTTCCATTATTGTCCTCTACGTCAACATCGGCTACATACAATTTTAACACACTTATGTAAAATTCGTAAACCTTATTTTCAAATGATGAAATACGTACCCCGTTTTAAGCCATCCATCTTCAGACACTGTCTGCTTGGTTTTTTCCGGGTCATCCCAGTAGCCGATCATATTGTTGTAACCTCTCAACATCAATTCACCTGGACTGCCAAACGGCACTATTTCACCGTCCTCGTCGACCACCTATAAATAGTCGCAAAAAGAGCTACAAAGTATTGGTACTTTTTCAATTTTATTCAAAATAGACACTTATTATAGTATTTAAACCATTGCTTGCAATTTATAAACGTTTGATGTGCTCCTCTGATATTTTTTTTCTACAAAAAATGCAAAAATAAACTTTGTGCTATAATATTGATAAATTTAAGGGTCTCAAAGATAAATAACTGCTTTTGAAAATCTGAAAATACCTTGGCTTCCGTATGGTCTTGTATGTACCCAACGGTCTCTGCAACTAGATCGATGCTATCGTCTGGCAAACTCTGGAATGATGATGCTGTGGTTTCTGTCATACCGTACAAAGCCTAAAAATGGAAAGAATATTAGTATTTCCACACGTATGATATGCCGTATTTAACTAAATCTATTGTCATACACTATGGTGCATCATAAATACATACAAAGTACAACAGTACAGCTCTAAATTTGCGCGTTGAGTAATAAGTACAACAACTATACCCTCAAATCATCATCATCAACAGCATTTAATAGTCCACTGCTGGACATAGGCCTCTCCTTAGAAATAAGGTTTTGACCTACTATACCACGCTGGTCGGACGGTACCAACCCAGGACCTTCAAATCGTTACATACTAACTACTAGTACTTCCTTGCAGTTATTTTTGGTGGCTAGTTTCGATTACAAAGTTTAGCTGTTTATATTTTGGTACTTGAATAAACATTTTATATCGACCGCCGAGAAGAAGAAGAAGAACATTTTGTTTTATATAATAAGGCAAAAACAAACCTTTACATCTGCTTTTAGGTACTTTTGCATGTCTCTGATTAACTGTGGGCTGCAGGGTGCTCCAGCAGCAAGGGCCATACGCAGTTTTGATGGAATATCTCCCATTGTCTTAACTTTAGATACCATATCGACGTACATCGTTGGGGTTCCAGTTATGGAGGTACAACTGAAAACAAATTTTAATTACGCAATGTCGCTAATTGTTTTAATGATGCAATCATTTTTGATTTTTTATGTGTTGATGTTTATTTGGATTTATTAACTTCTTTCAGTCATTTTAGTCTTGTTATTTGAAACTCATTCAGAAACAATATTAGTTTTTTTGCTTTTTTACTTACTATTAGTGTAGAGTATTTTCTACATTAATGTCTATAAAAATATCGATTACCTCTCGTTCGTCTTGTCTCGTTGTTTATATATTTGAAACAAAAATTCGTTAATTATTACGGTAACTTAAGTATAAAACTTGCAGCGTTTTGCGATTTGTTCGCCTCATCTACGAAGTTGTGTCAATTTTTGTTGACACCAAAAAACACAACTATCTATAATAGTTGAAAATAACAGACATGGACCATTGCGAACTTTAAATTATATTCATATGATTGGTTTTAGTCACAGCGATTTCACATATTATTGTGACGTTGTCATAGACAAGAAAAAAGCCATTAAAATCAATGATTTTTTTTTTATCAAAGATTACGACTTTTTTGTTTAGATTTAGGCCTTTCACGAGTCTAGCGTTAGCGATAACAATAAGTCGCAGTGGTTTTATAAATTAGTCAGCGGTGGGATTATATCCATACTAATATTATAAATGCTAAAATTTCTGTCTATCTCTCTGTCTGTTACTTCTTCATGCTTAAACCGAATGATTTAGATGAAATTTGATATGATGATACTTTGATTCTTGAGGAAAGACATAGGCTACTTTTTAACGCGATAACAGACATTTAAGCAAGCGGAACCGCGGGTAATAGCTAGTGATTTATAAAGCATATGATTTATCACAGGTGATTGTGATTTTATTCCATCCCTAATAAACATGTAACTTACCCCTCGGCGAATAAAGCTTTAATATTGGCATCAAGATTGTATGTTGGCGATGGGAGTATTATTGAGCTGCCATGCCTGAAGCCGGCTAAAACTGTCACAATGGATCCCAAGGCGTGGAAAAGTGGGACCTGGAATACGACTACTTATACATATAGATGAAATATTTAGTGCTGATCGAAATTCAACTATTGTCATTATTTTCACAATATTCCCAGTTTTAACGAGATAATCACAGTTTAGAATTTTCTATTTTATTTTTCTACTTGAATAATAATCGCAGCTGTTCTAGTAACTTTTTAACACATTAAGAGTTTTAAAAAAAATGCAAGTCAAAACAATAAAAAGTTACAGAGTTCTTGCAATTTTTACATAGATATAATTTGTTTAATTATATACCTGTACGCATATTTTATGATGTTCTTTGTGGAAGCCATTTCTTTTTCCCGATAAATATGTGTTATTGACTGCACCCAAGTGGGAATCAAGAGCAGCTTTTGGATCACCTATAAAACAAAAAATAAAATTTTCAACTAAAAAGTGAGTATTTTTAGCTATTAAATAAAAATGTTCTAAACCTGAATGCTAAGTATTTTTATCATTTCTTTATAATGCACGATATTACTTAGTATAAATAGAAACGTTACTTGCTACGTACCAGTAGTACCCGATGTTAAGTGAATGATTGAACCATCTGCCGACTTGACCTCACTGCTGTACTGAGAGATCTGACTTCCTCCTCCTGCGATTAGTGAGTTGTATGAAAGGGTTCCTCTAGAAAACAAAACATGATATTAGAAACTAGTTAACCAATTCAAGCTATCTACGAAATATTGAGATTTTTTGTGGTTTTGTAAACACTTTCTAATTTGTCCGTATAAGCAATTTCCTTGTCTATCCATTTTCTTTATTTTTGTTTCCCTTTCAATATACCTTTTTTTATGGTATAAGGGGGCGGGGCAAACGAGCAGACGGGTCACCTAATGATAACCTAACCGCCGCCCACGGACACTTGCAACTCAAAACTCACAAGTGCGTTGCTGCCCTTGGAGTCCCTCCCACTTAAGTCAGCGGAAGAGGGGATTAGGGCCTATTCTCAAATATTCATATTTTAATTCTCAGGAATTTAAGATAGGATTTTTTTAACAATCACAGTTCACACATACTAATGTGTATATAATATATCGTCATGATCTTAAAACAATGTCGCTTTTGAAAAAAAAAAACGAAATTCAGTGTTTACCATATTTGGATACTACATTCTCTAAATATTATTACTACATTCAATGATATGTATTATAGATTTTAAATTATTCAGTGTTTGTTTGATAGGCGCTCAAAGTAAACTGAAGCATGTGATTTTTATAGAAAATTGTAAAATTATTATTTGTTATTTTTATTGCCAATTTTCATAATTACAGATTTAGAATTAATAAGGTTATGTAAAAAAATTAACATAATTATTTGAAATACTCGTAGATCTTCAGAGGCTCGCGTTGTAAAAATCTAATTTATAGGTATATTTAATGGAATAAAGAGAATAATAATGATAATTTATTTCATAAACATGGCACAGTTACAAAATATGGAGTCGTCTTTTAAGTAAAAGAAGACCTGTGCCAGGAGACTCCATCTTATACGGTGTCATAGTTATGTGTTTAGAAATAAACAATCTAACAAGATACAACAATCAGTTATATATCTGCCTTGTATATCTGCCTTAATAATAAGGCACACAATATACACACACACACAAATACAATATATATATTTTATAATTATTATTTTTTATGTTAGATTTGGCAGACGAGCAGACGGGTCACCTGATGGAAAGTGACCATCGCCGCCCATGAACGTCTGCAACTCAGGAGATACAAACGCATTACGGGCTTGTTAGGAAGGAGTACGCTCTTTTCTTGAAGTTTTGAAGGTCGTATCGGTCCGAAAATACTGCAGACGATAACCTGTTCCCCAGCTTGGTTGTACGAGGCAAAAAATTACTCAAAAAGCGCACAGTAGTGGAGCGCCAACTGTCCATGTGATGAGGATGAGAATTTTGCCGTGGTGAACGATGGGGGAAAGTTGCGGCCGGTATTAATCCGAACAGTTCCTCGGAGCACTCTCCATGATATATGCGATAGAGAATGTAGAGTGAAGCCACATCTCTACATAACGCCAAGGGATAGGCGATCGGAGATATTTGGGCTATCGACGATTCAAGTCGCTCTGATAATAGCATTAAATTTATCAATTACAACTTAAATTTGAAAAATATTTATTTATGTCACGTCGAATTATGAGTACTCATCTATATTTTACTTAAACCAGCAAGGCCTGGTCGAAACACCTACTTACTTCAAGTCATTTTTTCCCGTGTTGATAATAGATGTTAAATTAGGAAATTCTTTGGATGTCCATGATCCAGGTTTGCTGGTTTGAATGTTTGGTAACAGCTGTAAGAGTGTCTTGTTATAATCTCTGTTCGGTAATGGATTTCCGACTAATAAACTCTTCATACCTGTTTTCTTAATACAGAAACCCAGTTCGTTTTTTTCATAAACGGGGTTTATTAGGACCTGAAATTTAAAAAGTTAGATTAAAAAAGTGAGGAGTACCATCAATCTGGACACAATTGCCAAGGCCTAATTTCCATTGCACTAAGCAATTATTGTACCAAAGAGTTTACAGCATAATCTCAATCATTTCATCGAATTAATGATCGATTCATCGAGTGATCATAGAATCAATATTTCATTAATAGGCTAGTCAACAAGTTCAAAAACGTGTTAATTCTTGATAAAGCTCCTAAAAATATGAGCGATGGCTCATTCAATTCGGAATGACGCTTAGAAAAATGTAAAAAAGTATGTATTAGTACATAAAAAATTACAATTGTGTTAACAAATTTAGATAAAAAAAAGGTAGCATTTAGTTTTTGGTTGATAACTCAAAAATTATTAATATTTAAGGTATTTTGAAAAAATATTTTTAAAGAGGAGGAAATTTCCAAGCTAAAACTTCCATCTCCCGGCACTCTATCTCTATTATTAATAAATTTAATTCAACGCTGAAAATAGGGCCGCGCCCAGCCGTACCGTCATAGGCGCACTACCGCTAAAGACAGTGTCATCTACATTTTTTTTGTAACTAATATTAATTTAAAAATTTGAATAAAGTATGGTATGATCTAGACACGAAAGATCTAGATCTGGAAAGAATAAATTCCTGTTGGTTTTTTTTTGTAATTTTTTAAAAAGTTATCCTATTGCAATTTTTTTTACCAATCTCTGTTATGTTAAATGACTACATAAAAGTTTAAATATTACATTTAAAAAAATTGGCTTAGTAGAGCCCTTCTTATACATATACTACACAAGATCACGCTATAAAAGTAAATTAAAGTTTATTATTTTGCTTATAATGATTTTTTAAAGTTAACATATATTTTCTTATATATGGTATACATAATCTATGATACACTTTTCTTTTGTATCGCATTTAATTTGATTCGCACGAAAGTGATCCACTTAAATGTACAGAAAAAATAATATAGAATAGGGTAAATAAAGTTTAAAAAACTAATACTACTACCATGGTCAGACGTAGATAAAAACACTCAACACATGCAGCATATGACCACTAATCTTTACTACTCTTTGATAATAATCTAAAAGAATTATGAATTGTGTCATAATAAGTCATAGATTGCAATGAAAATCATACTATCTCTTTGCAGCGAATTGCAATTTAAACATTTCTTAATTACGTGGGGCATACTGCAAGTTTCTGGATCTGGCCACTTACAATAAAGGAATAAAAAAAATGGAATTCGAAAATGGAACTCTTTTAGAAGATATTACTCTGTTATTTGCGAGACTGTCATTTGCTTTTTCATTGTGACGTCCTCTCGAAAATTGTGTGTCGCTATCAAAATGAATTTAACACGTGAACATTTTCGTTCATGAAGACATTGAAAAGGTTCCAACGGAAGACTGGTCCAACTGCTTTATACAGCGGTTTCAGCGAATGAAGAATGCATTAATTAAGAGGGAATATACTTTGAAAAATAATAAATGTATCGTAAGTCTTATATGTAGTCTTATTTATCAGAATCGAGAAACTTTCAGTATGCCCTAAGTAAACTTCATTTTCAGAATGTCGAATGTAATCGCATGTCATAAATACTCGTAGTATTGATAGCTTAAGTACACTGGTATTAGTGTCCGGTTGTAATGATGAAAACCCGTGTCTGATAACCGCGGTTGAAGTATCAAAGAAATGTAACATTATATTGGAATTATACATGTATGTGTGTACACATTCATACCGAAATAAGTCCAGCTCTGGCAGCTGCAATGACTGCTACGATCCATGATACGCTGTTGTGTGTCCAAATACCTAGCCTGTCTCCTTTCTCGAGGCCTTGGCTTCGGAGAGCACATCCTAGAGAGTCGGCCTGAAAATGTAATTTTTCTTATTAATAAGATTTAGATTAAAAATAAGATTACCTCGAACAGGGAAACGGAATCAAAACGGTCAAAGATTCCTGAGATTCATTTGATTTCAGATATTAGGATCTTATGTGTCTCTGTGTTAAATAGCGAAGATACGTTGCAGCCGACTACTGAATTACAAAATTAGTCTTCAATAAGTCAACCTAGACACTTTTGGGGGATGAAGTTCAGGCACCCCGTTATCGCAGCGGTAAGACCCGTTATAGAGGATTAGCCCGAGAGGCATCATGGAACCCTCTCATACCGGCTAACGCAGGTGATCAGCGGGAAAGGATGCTTCGTAGGTCACATGTGTCTGACCGTAAGGCCAACCAGCCAGCAAACGCCCGCGCTCTACACGTCGGCAGAATGGCGATGATGCCCGGCGTGGGTGGAGCAAAGGCGTGGCCTCGTGTGTGAGGAGTGAGAATTCTCTCGCTCGATAACATGATTGCCGCCATTTTACGGAGCGAGAGTGCGTGGAACTCCGCCGTCTCCTTCTGCGAGCAGGTTATGCTTGCGATGAAGATGGCGAGGAGAGGTTCAGAAATCTCCCGGCCCGCCCGGCCCGGGAACGGGCCAGGTACCGCAGACGACTCAGGCGCCGGAGATCGCAGAACGACCTCCGTCCTCCATAAGCGAAGGCCTGGGGATGACAGGTGAGGCCATCGGTCACTCTAGCAGGAGCGGGCCGGGGTGGGTGGCAACGCCACCCACTCCTTCGGGGGCAGGAAACTAACATCGTCCGCAAGCAGCCAACGCCTGAGTGCCACCACTGCGATGGCCAGACCGTGGACACGGCTCTCCACACGCTGGCGGAGTGCCCGGCGTGGGTTGAGCAGAGGCGAGACCTCGTGGCGGCCATCGGAGTGGGAGTTCTCTCGCTCGAGAGCCTGATTGCGGCTGTCGTGCGGAGCGAGAGTGCGTGGAACTCTGCCGTCTCCTTCTGCGAGCAAGTTATGCTCCCGGCCCGCCAGGCCCGGGAACGGGCCAGGTACCGCAGGCGACTCAGGCGCCGGAGGTCGCAGAATGACCTCCCCCCTCCATAAGCGCAGGCCTGGGGGTGACAGGTGAGGCCATCTGTCACCCTAGCAGAAGCAGGCCGGGGTGGCGGCAGGGGGGGAGCAGAGGGAACATGGGGTTCCCACACGGGGGGGGTCGTCTACTCGTCTTCAGATGGCCCGAGGTATGTCGGGGCACCAGGGACTTCCTTTAGGGTATACCTGGTTCTCCGGCTATTAGTACCCGAGACGGCGTGCGGTTTTAGTCGGTTCGAGTCCGACATGCCACCGACAGGTGGTATCCGAGGAGATAAAAAAAAATAAAAAATAAAGGAAACTAACATCGGGGTTCCCACACAGAGGGAGTGATCTAAAAGCCGTAGATGGCCAGAGGTCCGGCGGGGTACTAGGGCTTTCCTTACTAGAGTATACCTGGTTAACCGGCTACTGGTATCTGGAGACGGCGTGCGGTTTTTGGTCGGTTCGAGTCCGACATAATCACCCCATGGGTGGTATCCGAGGGGAGTTCGGCACAAAAAAAGGGAGTGAAGTTGCCATTGCATTGCTGATAGGTTTCACATTGAAATACCCTATGCCAAATCTAACCATTTGCAGGATATTGGACTAATAAGATTTTTTTACATATTTATATTTTGACTATCACCATTTTTTTATAACTTAAATCTTCTAATTGAAGTGAAAACTTCTTTAGCCACGTTGGGCATTTTTGACAAACAAAACAAAACAAAACAAACAAAAGAATTTAGAATATATTTATGTTTTAACAAAAAACTCATTTTTTGAGATGGGGAAAAACCATTAAACTTGCGACACCGTTACTGGCACCTCTGGGTACATAACATATACGAGAGTTGAGTTTGGGTTGAAATACATTGATAATATAACTATATATAACATAAACATGTATTGTGAATATACGTACAACATAGATATGTATTCATATCGTAACTTTTCGAATCTAAAATTTTTTTTACGATTTTTGTGTCTCAGTTTGATAAGTTAACGACAATTATAGTGATGGTGATTATAAAATATCGTATCAACGACACAAAAACCGTTTATCAAAAACCGTATTTCAGTGGCTATTTCGCAGACCGTTTTTATTTACTTGCGTGTGTTGTAGTTGTATAAATCTTTTTAAAAAAACGTTGTACCGACTTCAAACAATACTGACAAAGAGCACTAAAAATTAAAAAATAATTACGAATCTAAGTAAAGAAACTATAGTAAGTACACTCAAAATAACAGGCAAAATTATAATAGCAATAGTCCCTTCTAGTCTGTTTAAAGTCGGCTTGGTAGAATGTAGCGCGGCAGCAGTTACGCACATTTCCAATGATATTATTATTTTGAATGTTTAATTAAGTAGTTGATAAGTTTGCGCACTTAATTGATATGGTTGGTCTTTATTCATTAACAAAATCTGCGATGTTTCATCAGAATTATATTGAATTCTTAATTTATTGTGCTAATATAAAGCTGACATAGACCAGTATTACTTATTGTGTATCGGGCGTTATTTAGATAAGGTAGTAAGAATATTATTAGTATTTGAACCCGAAAATATGTATATTGTTTTCCACATTACTTAATTTTACAAAACTAGGAGTGGTATTTTTCTTCACATTTGAATGGAACTAAAGAGGAAATATACCGTTCCAAATAAAAAATATATTTTTGTAATCAGTTTACAAATAAGGGTTTTGAGGTAACAAACACGAAAATAATTGCGTAAGAAACTTTTTTTTTGTCTAATTTTTTTGTAATCTCATATATACGTATTACTCTTTTGTGCACATTTCTCTGTAACCCAACACAAACACCTAACCTAAGAAAAAAAAAGGTCAATACAAGATTAGATTTTTAAAAGAGTTATCGTGTAACTCCTAAAGGTCAAGGACCCTTTCATCAACAGCTCAGCAACATGACATAATGACTACTAAACGCAAATACCTATATAGCTAGACAAACAAGCTAAAATACGCTATCGGGCCTGTAAAATTTAAGGGGTTCCCTCGATTTCTCTAGGATCCCATCATCAAATCTTGATTTGATGGTAATGGACCCCGTTGGGAGTATACCCTTTTGATTACAAAAAGATTTTTTAAATAAAAAAAGAATTTGAGAATACGATTTACAAATGAAAGAGTTTTAAGGTAACAAACATGAAAATAATAGCGTAACAAACTTTTTTTTTGTCTAAATATTTTGTAATATCATTTATTATGAGATTACAAAACATTTATATATATATATTAGATTATGAATGCAATAAAGATATATATTTTTTTTATCTACGAGTCTATGACTGTAAACTAATGAAGGTCAAAAGTTTACAAAGTACAATGCACTTGTATTCTGGGTACTGGTTACACTATGCTGTACGATTAAGATTTAAATACATTACGAGTATATCTCAATTATATATTTATTGACTTTATTTTAGGTATATACGTATCGTTTATCATATACCTAAGATTATGACTTAACGACATGAATGTATAAGTCTTGAAATCGATACCGATTAATTAAAACCGATATTTAGCTAGTTTCGGCTTCCAATCTACCAAATCAAAGATGCATAAAAGGTTGTTACGTGTTAAGTGCATGCTCATGGCGTGTCAGAAAACTGCGTCATTTCCTGATAATCTATCAGTTACTTTGAGGTTTTCTAAAATTTATTTGTATTTTGAAAATTGGTATTTTTCTTTTCTTGTGCACTTCAAAAACTAACAGCAGAAGCAGGCTAAAAATAATATTATTTGCCCAAATTGTGAAGAAAAATGGATTGCTGATTTAAGAAGATAAATGTAAGCAATATAACCTTAAATTACGATATTATTGCCTCAATTTTATTAATTAAGTTATTGTTTTTATTATAACAGTATTAATGCCATAATGTTATGAGCGTAAGTAGGTATTAGGTTTAATTGTATTATTAACAATGTAATATGTGTATAAAATAATTGTATTATTGTCAATGTCACCGATGCTTATCGACCAATAATTGCTCGTATTAAGACACTATTGCCATTTTTATGCAATTTTTAAATGTTTAAGAATTCTGAGTATAAAGGAATAAGACTTTGGAGACTTGATATGCGTATTTCGAAAATTTACCGCGTTGACAAAAGATCCTGATAGTATACCGCCCTAGATTTCACCTATTAATTATTCAGCACCATACGAGTATTATGTTTATTGTACCAAAGCTACATTCCAAGAGGATATTATGAGCAAACTGTTTACAGTTAGACCAGGTGTTGAGCATTGACACAATGATGACTCACCTTATTTAAATGAATGCAGTTTGCTTTTAAAGTTACCATGACTTGTAAGATATTGAGTGACACAGTGATCCACCTCAATCCATATCCTCGACAACTGCTCGCGAACGGATGGAAAGAACTGGTATAGGTGGCCCCTTAGATGTTTCGTCCCAACGGTGTAGTCCAGCAATCTTGTGATTTTGTCACGATCTCGTGAACCCAAGAAATCACCTTCCATGGTTTCTCATGTACATGCCTAAACGTCATTACACCCCCAGAATAATCGAAGAACATCTACCAACACCGGCAAAGAGTGAGTGAGTGCGCTTAGCCAATATATGCAGGATTGAAGTGCAAATGAGAAACTAGCAACGGCTTAAGAATAGAATAGAATTTAAGAGACGTCATAACGAAATATCGAAAGGATTGGATACTTATCTATAGATTATTATTATTGTAGTTCTTGATTAACAAAGTGGAATATTCTGTTCTCTTACCTGTTTCAACAGCTGTTCATATGTGATAGTTACATCTTCATGCACAGACTTAACGGCGACTCTATCAGGATACTTGTCAACGGTCTGTGCTATCACATCACCCAGAGTGTCATAACACAAAAGTTCTGAGCCAGGATTTTTGAGGTAGCCTTCAGCTGGCGACTGTATCTTCCGGACCCACCTAAAAATAAAAGATGGATTAAGAATACAGAGTGTCACCACCCCTATTCATCCCGTGGGCGTCGTAAGAGGCGACTAAGGAAGCAAACTACGCAGGACAACAGCACTGCACAGAGAAGAAAAACTTGAAACAAACCCTATACCAACCCGTCTGGCCAGCGTGGTATAGTAGGCCAAAACCTCCTTCCTAAGGAGAGGCCTTTGTCCAGCAGTGGACTAGTAAAGGCTGTTGATGATGATGATGATGATTTGCATCTACTTTCAACGAATTAGTAACTTTTATAGGCAGTGCAGTAATAAAAGTAATTCTTTGTATGAATGATTTATGCAATATCTTATGTTGTAATGTATAATAGGTAATAATGTATGCTTTAGTGCTGTTGTAAAAAAATCAGTCAAAAAACCTCACTAATTAATTATATTCGATTTATGTTTTATTTGATATCGATTTTTAATCTTCACGCATTATTTATTTGCAGTAGTTATCTTTTGTAGTTAATGTTAATCTACGTTACGATCAGCTAATATTGTATATGCAACATAAAATCCGCCTTTGTTGTTTTTTGATTTGTCTGTTATTTAATATTTCATTAAAAAAAAACTGTTTAATTAGCATTAATTCTCGTCTAATCAGGATTGTTAACATTCCTCTTCGAGAGAAACTTGGGTTAATTCGGGTATAATAATATAAATAATTGAGTTCTTTTCGTTGTCAAGTCTACTAACAATGAAAACCAATTTGATTGGACAACCGAATCTGTATTTTCAATTTTTCTTACTGTAGATACGGTTCGATTGGTGCAAGCTCAGAGACGCCATCTCAACAATTGTGGTGTTACAATCGGAACGAACAATTTGTTGCCAGGGCAGATTGCATTTTTGCAATATCTACACGATATCAGATGGACTTAGTTCTTAATGATACCACGCCACACCTAATCTGATACGTTAAATGTTCTTTGATGGCAAACCAGAGCCTTTTAAAAACTTTTTAAATATCAATGTGTAACGGCTCTTGGGGACTGATCAAATTACATCAACGTCCTTTGAAATCCCCTAGCCATGGTTATGTCGGACTCGAACCTACTAAAAACCGCACGCCGTCTTGGGTAGAGTGTGAAGAGTGGAAGGAACGACTTGGGCAACCGAGCGCTGGGAACGCCGTTATTGCGGCGGTAAGACCAGTTATGGAGGATTGGCTCGAGAGGCGTCACGGAACCCTCTCATACCGGCTGACGCAGAAGATCACCGGGAAAGGATGTTTCGGAGATCACCTGTGTCTGAGCCAACGTCTGAGTGTCGTCACTGCGGTGGCCGGACCGTAGACACGACGCTCCACACGTTGGCAGAATGCAGTGGAGCAGATGTGGTTACCATCGGAGTGGGAGTCCTTTACGCTCCTTCTGCGAGCAAGTTATGCCTGCGAAGGAGATGGCGGAGCGGGACCGGGAGAGGTTTAGAACTCTCCCGGCTCGCCAGGCAGGGGCACGGGCCAGGTACCGTAGACGGCTTGAGCGCCGGAGGTCGCCCTAACGCAAAGGGAACATGGGGGTTCACACACAGAAGGGGGTCATCTACCCGCCGTAGATGGCCTGAGGTACGTCGGGGTACCAGGAATTTCTTTTCTAGGGTACACCTGGTTCCCGAGACGCTGTGCGTTTTTTAGTCGGTTCGAGTCCGACATAATCACCCCACCCGGTTGATATCCGCAATTTTTTAATAATAATTTCAGGGTTTTAGGTAAATATTTTTTTTGCTAATGCTTTCGAACAAATCCGTACATTGCATTAATATCTTTTTCTCTTTCTCTCTTTGCATTAATATCTCTTTACTTAGAAAGCTTTGGTTTTAAGCTCGTCAACAAATGAACGAGGTGAAGAAATTATTTTTCAAATTGCAGTCTGACAAAATAAATAATTACTCTTTTGTGTTTTTGAAGTCGGTTAAAAACAAAAAAAACACGTTTTTGTAACTAGCCAAACTAAAAAGTAGAAAATAATTATCTATAACTTCAAAAAGAAATATCACTTTATCTTAAAAATCCGTGGGGTGCTAGATCTCAAAAGTAGTCGTTTTTTTTTAAATAAACAAGTAAGTAAGTCACATATGCTTCAGCACACGCCTCTTAGTACGTAGCAAAAGACACTACCGTATTTTTAGGTATGGAAAAAGTCGTTAATCCCAAAAATCCTGATCAGGATAATCGATCGAATTTATCAAATTATTGTATTGTCATCGGACCTTGACAAATATGCGAAGTTTCAAGTTAATTTCAAAAGTTAATTTCAAAAGGGTCAAAATCACGTTCGAAGATTCCGTTACATATGAGGACATACCAAGTTAATAAAAGCGCGTTAAAAATGGATTACATATTCTTAGTCTTACCTTTGGTTAACAGAGTAATTGAATTTCGTAACATAAAGTGGATATTTTCTCCACATTTTGTAATACGACACTACACTGTTTTAGGACAGTCACTTGTATACTGATAGTAGATAATGTTTATACAATTAACAATATTAAAAATGATTTCTTATCTATTTAAACATACCGACGACTGGTTGGCGTAGTGCTTTGTGTAACGGACTGCTATTCCATAGGTCGCGTCAATTCCCGCTTAAATCAAACATTTGTGTGCATGACTATTTTAATGTTTGGTTTGGTCTAGGTGTTTCTATGTATAATAAGTATGTATTTAAAAAAAAGGATTTATGTATTCAAATCAGTTGTCTAGTAGCCATAGCAAAAACTCTGCTTAGTTTGGGACTAGATGGCATTGTGTGAATGTGGTAGAATATTATTATTATTCTCTTACAACATTAAATATACATATATACATATACATATATACATATAAATTACATTTTTAAATATATTTATGTCCAAAAAAAAATACATTTAAAAATATAAAAAATAGTGACCCCGGTAGCGGGTACAAGGCCCAAGATATCGGTGGTTAGGACTCCAGAGACAGAAACCTCCTCACAATACGTGTCGTATCGAGAAAAACTGCTTTCTGCATCAGGCCCTTAATCCAACTGCCTAACGCGAGCTCTGAAGATGTTGGTCGAAGCTCTTAGCAATTAATCCAGTGGCCTAAATGACTTTCAGTACAATGATTTCCGAATCAACTATTATTATTACACCTATTTTACCTATCTTCTACACGGATGCATCAAAAGAGTCGATAGATTTTGCACCAAAGTCACCTCAGTCAAGAGTTTTTCAAGTCAGACCTTTTTTGGTACTGATTAATGTATATAAACTATTTTTTGGTTTTATTGTTTTAAGTGTTTTTCGTATATTTGCGATTTAACAATTTTATGTTATTATTATTAATATTTTTTCTTATTAGTTTTAATAGGTATTCTATTATTAAGAAAACGTAAGCAGTAGTTACCATGTTTGTCCATACACTTAATTATAATGTTATCCACAAGTGGAGACCTGTCATTGGCTGAGACATTGTTATATCATGCACTCAAATTTTATTTTAGCTGTAAGTCTTCCAAATAAATTAAAATATTAATAGTGTTCATGTTCACTAGGATAAAAACAACAAATGGTTAACAAATTCACAAAGACAACAACATAATACAAAACTGAATGTTACAAATACTTAAAGGTAAGCACCGCATTTAAAATATTATAGAAACTACAAACAGTAATAATAATAATAACCTCACTATGGTAACCAGACTGCTGATAAACATACTCATATATTTCTAAATATATGAAAATTAAAAATAAATTACACCTAGACCCAGAACAAAACATCGTGATTATCACATAATTATTTGTCCTGGATGGGAATCGAACCCACGACCTCTGGCACAGCAGTCAGGGTCACTAACCACTAGGCCAACAGGCCCGACAAACAGTAAGCTAATACAATGTAACTAGTAAATGTAGACATTCTTAAAATTACAATTTTAGCCAGTTTTATCTTTTAAGAGATACACTATGTAAAATTAGGTAACTTCAACAATATTGATTTAACTTTTGTCACAGAGTTAATAGTAATATCTTTATTGTAATTATAGGGACATTATATAGATAATAATAATAAATAATAATATATTCTACCACATACACACAACGCCATCTAGTCCCAAACTAAGCAGAGCTTGTACTATGGGTACTAGACAACTGATATGAATACATATATACTTTTTTTTTTTGTAAATACATACATATTATACATAGAAACACCCAGACCAAATCAAACATCAAATGTTCATGCACACAAATGTTTGACTTGAGCGGGAATCGAACCCGCGACCTTTGGAATAGCAGTCCGTTACACAAACCACTACGCCATCCAGTCGTCAGATGATATAGTTATCGGTATTTAGGCCGGCTATGTCCCGCTCATTGGGCATACAATAGATAAAACTATTAGAATACCTATATTCTAATAGATTTATGTATTGTTTACATGCAATAAATAATAAAATTGGTTATGTCAATATGGATCACATTGAAAGGGATTAATAATGTAGACATACAATAATAAGAGTAGAAAACACTGAACACATCATGACTGGGGTATAGAGTTATGGAGCAGAGACCTGTCGGTCATGTAATCTTTAACTGTATTATAACATTTACTTAGCAACAAGTCTTGTAGTTTCTTTTTAACCATAGGAATTTCTTTAACCTTCCTGATATCTCTCGGAATATTGTTATATATACGCGAAGCTGTACAGAATATACTTCCATGCACCAGATGTGTCTTGCTAGCAACTATGTGCAATTTGTCCTTATGTCTTATGCGTTGACGATAGTTAAATAGCTCTAAATTATTCTTAACAAATAATGCAACCTCCAGAATGTACAAACTTGGCAAGGTTAAAATGTTAAGTTTTTTTAAATATGATACACAGAAGTTGGTTTCCTGAAGATTAAGCATAGCCCTTATACAGCATTTTTGTGCTGCAAATGCTCGTCCTTTGTCTGAACTATTACCCCAAGATATTATGCCGTATCTTAAGGTTGAACTAACGTAACCATGGTAGGCTGCTAGAAGAGTCTTTTGATTCGCTATTTTTCTGCGTCTGTTTAGAGCATATGAAAACTGACCTAGTCTTTACAAACATAATCAAAATATAATTCAAAATTAATTTTCTTGTCAATATGTAAACCTAGAAATTTTGTTACTTCAGTTTCTTCCATATAAACAACTGCAAGAATTTTACAAATTGGACTAGTAGTTCTTGAGATTATAGCATTCAACCAAGCAAACAAACTGTTCAGCTTTATAATATTATTATAGATTAATGAAAAGCGAATCGAGGTGCGTGAAAATCTATACACCCTAGATTCAATACACGCTAAAACTGAAAAAAGTGAGTGGGGTTAAAAGAAGACTTAATAACTCAAATAGCTTTTGGTAACCTGTTATCAACAGGAAAACATCATCAATGAAATTACACACGCCCTATTACATACGTTTTCAGTCCGGCTCCATAAAAAGTAATCCAATTATCGTAACGTACACTTCTGTGCAAACAATTATGCTAAAATTACTTGATGGGAAAAGCACTTACAAAATATAGCACGTTAGCTTAGTAGCGTACCAACTAGCACGCAGAAAACATAGTAGTATAATTTTTTAAAGTGGAATTACAACTGGTCAATACCTAGTTGGTGCTGGTAGCTTGCCCAGTGTTATTAAATTAGTTGTTAATATGTCTAATGGAACAGTTGCATTCCCAGATGGATGGAATGAACTTCTAGAAGTTCATATAGAGGAATCGTACTCATCTAAAGTGATATTTTCTGTGGCATTACTAGTTGTGTTCGTTGTAAGCTGTGTGGCAAACATTGTGATAAGTATTGTCATTTACTGCAATAAAACCATGCACACCGCCACAGATTATTACTTGTTTGATTTAGCTGTCTCGGATTTACTCCTAACATTTCAAATATTGACAGTCGTTTATCAAAATTTGGCAAAAAATAATAATACTATGGAATATAATAATGGAGGAACTACATGTGACATTGTCATATGTATCCAATACATCTATGTATCTTTACTTTGGAACCACGGAATTCTTGTAATGACAGCATTATCCATAGAAAGGTATATTGCCATATGTTACCCATTCACGTTACAACGTGTACCAGTGTGGAAAAGAGTGGTTAAAATCATTTTGGTTCTTTGGACAATTGCTATTGCAGAAACGCTACCGATATTCTGGACATTCGGTATTATTGAAACAGAAATAGAAGTGAAGTGTATTTTTATTAAAACTCTTACAGCACAAATTATAACCGTATCTTCAGGAGTAATTACGTTTTTTATACCTTTGAGTATTATGATGTTTGTGTACACCATGATATCATTCAGAGTCAAGAACCATGAAAAATACAATTTGAGTTACATGGTTAACAAAAGCATTCGCAACGGAAAAAATGTTACTAATTTAATTGGCAAGTTTCTTAATACCTAATAATTATAAGTAATTTTAAATATAAATTATGTGTAATTACTTATACAAAATTCTCATCTTTAGTTGCATTGACGATGTCTTTCGTTGTGTGTTGGCTCCCACACTTCATCTTAAGAATGTTCTTGTACTTCGCTGAAATAAAAACGAAAACACAATTAGAGGTGAGAAACTGTTACACAGTTCAATATTACTATAACTTTAACAGCTAACCTTCTTTTTTTGTATGTTCTCCAGTTGTTGGTGACTCTTCTAAGAATAGCGATGTTCAACAGTTGGTTTACAACAGTGTTGAATCCGTTACTGTTCAGCCTCATGTCTGTAAAGTTCAGGAAAGCGTTTAAGGTGACTCTTTTAAATATCATCTATATATGTATATCAGGTAGAGGATGTTGAAAGGTAAGAAATCAGTTTCAATGTTACACAATAGATCACGCTATTATCGATCTAAGTGGCGTGCAATGGGAGAGCCCTACGTCCAGCATTGGACTGCGATAGGCTGATGGTGATGATGATTGCCTGAAAAGACCCGAAATAAAATTGGGGAAATGTAGAAAACTGATGATGATTATTTTTAATAACATTTAACAACATCATGATTAAGTAGAAATTTTAATCCAGCCCAGTTTCTCTATCTTGCCAAAATAAAAAATGTTTTACATCCATTTGTTTCCCACAATGAGATAGTAGTTTCTGCCTATATAATTTGCTAAATGAAATTTGTTGTAAATTCCATATTTTAATAAGTTTTTTTCATTGAAAATATTTACTTATCAATTTTATTAACACTTACAGATGCTATGGGATAAACAAATAAAAAGAGAGTTAAAAAAAGAAGTTCATGAAGAGCTGGAGATACAGCTAAGATGCACTGTTAATGTTTAATAATAAAGCAGTACATCCCACAATTGCCAACATGTTGACCTAACATTGATTTTTTAAACACGTTTGTCAAATGTTTCAGCCTAAAAGCTACTTACGTATGG